AACTTATGTCAGCCTAGTCTAATGTGACCTACATTAAACTCATGTCATTCTAGTCTAATGGGACCTACATTAAACTCATGTCAGCCTAGTCTAATGTGACCTACATTAAACTCATGTCAGCCTAGTCTAATGGGACCTACATTAAACTCATGTCAGCCTAGTCTAATGTGACCTACATTAAACTCATGTCAGCCTTGTCTAATGTGACCTACATTAAACTCATGTCAGCCTAGTCTAATGTGACCTACATTAAACTCATGTCAGCCTAGTCTAATGGGACCTACATTAAACTCATGTCAGCCTTGTCTTATGTGACCTACATTAAACTCATGTCAGCCTAGTCTAATGGGACCTACATTAAACTCATGTCAGCCTAGTCTAATGTGACCTACATTAAACTCATGTCAGCCTAGTCTAATATGACCTACATTAAACTTATGTCAGCCTAGTCTAATATGACCTACATTAAACTCATGTCAGCCTAGTCTAATATGACCTACATTAAACTTATGTCAGCCTAGTCTAATGTGACCTACATTAAACTCATGTCAGCCTAGTCTAATGTGACCTACATTAAACTCATGTCAGCCTTGTCTAATGTGACCTTCATTAAACTCATGTCAGCCTAGTCTAATGTGACCTACATTAAACTCATGTCAGCCTTGTCTAATGTGAACCACATTAAACTCATGTCAGCCTAGTCTAATGTGACCTACATTAAACTCATGTCAGCCTTGTCTAATGTGACCTACATTAAACTTATGTCAGCCTAGTTTAATGTGACCTACATTAAACTTATGTCAGCCTAGTCTAATGTGACCTACATTAAACTCATGTCAGCCTAGTCTAATGTGACCTACATTAAACTCATGTCAGCCTAGTCTAATGTGACCTACATTAAACTCATGTCAGCCTAGTCTAATGTGACCTACATTAAACTCATGTCAGCCTAGTCTAATGTGACCTTCATTAAACTCATGTCAGCCTAGTCTAATGTGACCTTCATTAAATTTGAGTCAACCTAGTCACAGTCTGAAATAATTTTTTATTCTATTTTCCTGAATTTGGGCTCCTGTTTGTCACATCTTGATTTTAAAAAAAACTGACACAATATGTTATCTTTCAAGTAAATTCTGAAGGATAATAGAAATATGAATTGAACAATTTGAAAAATTATGGATAGAGTCCCCATGTCAACATTGTTTCGATATTTAAATGGTAAATACTGTCCTATATAGATTTCTGATAATATTAAAGAGGCAAATACTCTCAAATACAAACCTGTGGTCATATTAAAAAAAGGTTAAGCTGTATTTCCATAGTATATCTCTACCAAATTATTTTCAAATATATATGTAATGCATTTCAAGTCCAAGAAAGTCAATCACAATTTTAATAAAATACATGTAGCTAGGAAACTTTGCAATTATTTAGGTAGATATTGCTTAATGAAAATATTATATATTGTGTATTATTAAATGACTGCCTCTATAATAATTGTCATTCTGGATAGTCCATACCACAACTGGACTCTGATTGTTCTAAACTTGCTTTGAAGGGTCTAATAAAGGGGAAAGCTTCTTTATTGGACCCACATTAATCTTAAGTCAATCTTGTCAAAGATTAACATGGTGTACAGTTATTTGTCCTAATTTGGAATAACTTCAGCAAACAGTGTATTTGTATTACATAAAAAGATTTCTGGTAAAACAGAAAGATGATTTTGATATCAGAATGATGTTTTATATCTATAGATACATGACCTCATTTTTATTCTATTTTCTTGAATTTGGACTCCTGTTTGTCACAACTTGATTCAATGCTGGATTTCTTTCATATCAATAATGGGCCTGCAATTTACTGAATTTTGGGAATAAATATCAATTTTAATGGATTGACTCACCTAATTTGCTGAAATTTGGGAATGGATATCAATTTTAATGGATTGACTCACCTATTTGGTAAATAATGTCAACTACAGATTTTTGATAAAATTAAAGAAGGCAAGACTTTAAGGTTCAAGAAAGTAATCATACTTTTGATAAATCACATGTGGCAAGGAAACTTTGGGAGTAATTAAAGTGAATAATGTTTGTGGATTTAACTTATTGTGTATTATTTCATCTAATTGCTACAACAATTTACTGTTATTTGTAGCTGCTGAATTATGAAGGTCCTGTTAAAGGGGAATTCTCTTCTATAATATAAGGCCTACATTCAGTTAAACGCTATAATATATCTTGTAATACATGTCCCCAGTCTTTTTATTACTGACCACAATAGAGGATCATAGATATAGATTCACTCCCTTTATATAGAGAAATCGCCGTGGAATTAAAGAATTGTTTATTCCTGTAAGAAACGACAAAGACCACCCCAACTTTTTGAAGAATTTTGCCAATAATTGTTGATGTTTTTGCGAATCTATTGTCTAAGTAATTAAATATTGGCTCAGTTTACTTCATCTATCCCCTAGGAAAATTCTTCCTAAATGTATATGTAAAACTGTGGGTCAACTGGGTCTTTAAGGCACTGAGTTGAGAAAAGTCATTGAAAAATGTGATTTAATCTCTCAGACAGTCAGGCTTCCAAGATGTCTAATCACACAGTTGTCAGTTCCGACTCATTCCTTCCACTGGAACCATTTTATTAAAGAGGCAAATACTCTCAAATCCAAATCATAATAAAAAAAGTTAAGCTGTATAAACATAATATCTCTTTATCAAATTATTTTCAAATATATATGTAATGCATTTCAAGTCCAAGGAAGTCAATCACACTTTTAATAAAATACATGTGGCTAGGAAACTTTGCAATTATTTAAGTAGATATTGTTCAATGATCTTATTATATATTGTGTATTATCAAATGACTGCTTCTGACTGTCATTCTGGATAGTCCATACCACAACTGGACACTTGTTGTCAACTTGTTTTGAAGGGCCTATTAAAGGGGAAAGCTCCTTTATGTGACCTACATTAAACTTATGTGAACCTAGTTCAATGTATCCTACATTGAACTTAAGTCAACCTAGTCATAGTTTGAAATAATGTACTGCTATTTGTCTGATTTTGGAATAATCTAAACAAACGGTGTACTTATATTACATTTACAGCTTTGAATTCAGAGAAACCATGTTTTCCCATCATGATAAACCATACCATCTCATTTCTTCTTATGCCTCGGTCACATTTGTTCCAATTTTCAATACGGCGACTGGTGGATTGATTTCTTCAGAATTGAATACAATATTGAATAAAACACTCAATCGGGTGGGCCAATGGATCAGAGCAAATGTGACCCAGGCATAAGTCTTCAGGAATGTGTTGAGAAACCCCATTCAATCTAGTTACCTACTACACAGAAAGATATGTACACAATTAGTGCTAATTAAGCGCTCGTGTTATGAGTGCTCATGAGTGCACTTTTGCCAGAGTGCTAATTTATTACTACTTGAGTGCTATTTTAGTACTAATTTTGTGAAAAATAAGGGTTTATTTTAGTACAGCTTTAGTAACGATATTTTAAGTAATGATTGAGTGCTATTTTAGTACTAAAAAATTGCTCATCAAGTCCTAAAATATTGTTCATTTACCAAAAGGTAAGCACTCTACATGTAGGTATAATTCTAGCTGGTATTCATTTGATCATTCTAGTGATTCTTTCAATTTTATATTATATTTTGCACTGGTGATCACTCGATTACGCTAACAAAATGTCGGAACGATGAAGGTACGATTTTTCTTTTTTCCTTATTTCACGCGTCGTAGGCAGACACCCAGACACCCCAAGACGTTTTTTCACACAACCTGTATCAGTATCGTATGTTTTAGAAAATGTACATGTTTGCGAAAAAATAGCTCAGAAGACAACAGAATCGTCGATTTGCTTCCTCACTTAAGTTACATAAACGGTTTGGGTTAAAAGTGCTGATCTTAACTGTTTTTCGAAAAACCGTTTATGTAACTTAAGTGAGGAATTAAATCGACGATTCTGTTGTCTTCTGAACTATTTGTTCGCAAATATGTACAATTTCTTAAACATATGATACTGATACACGTTTGTGCTAAAAATGCCGTGGGAATTCTGCCTACAACGTGTAAAATAAGGAAACGAGAAAGATCGTACCTTCGATGTTCCGACATTTTGTTAGCAAAACAGTTTGTTTTGGTAACCAGCGTAATCGAGTGGATCACCAGTGTTTTGACTAATTCCCATCTCTGTTAACCGTATTGAACTTACCTACCATTTACTTTTAGAACATCTCATATGATAAACATCTTCAACTTACTCTGAAAAAGAAAGCAGTATATATATATGCACTTCTCTCAAGAATGGATCAATATGGTGTCTGTCATTTTGTTTCCTAGCTTCATACTGTTCCATAAAATAGTTACAGGACTGGAAATTTTTTGAAAAGTTTAATGATATATTTATCCATGTTTTCATATAATTAAAATGTAACTTATAAGATATTTTGTATTCTACTGCCTCAATTAAAAGGGTCTTTCAACATTTAAATTTTTCAAGTACTATTTTATCACTCATGATACATGTGCAATATATTAGTACTCATAGTTTGAGCGCTTATTGAGAAATGAAAAGTCAATGAAATTAATGCTATTTCATCACTCATGATATGTGTACTCATTTAGTACTAAAACATGCAATAAATCAGTACTTATGACATGAGTGCTCATTTAGTACAAATATTTACTGAAATGAGTACTCAATTAGCACTAAAATGCCATGAGTACTATTTTAGTACTTAGCATATCTCATATAAATATATTGTCCGCCACTATTGACTCACACAGTTGTCAGTTCCAACATCGCTGATCTCATTCCTTACACCCGAACCATGTCTCAAAACGTGAATAATGGTTCTTCAGTCGCGAACCACCAGTTCCTCTCTTCTTATTTCTCCACTAGCACTGGTAGTTGGCGCCTACACCCACGTTCAGTATAGATAAATCTCATATAATTCTTGTTGATTTCAGTTAGGGAAACTGCTTAGTGCTGAAGAGTATCAGCGAAAGATTGTGCCATGTGTGGTGAAGCTGTTTTCATCCTCTGATAGGCAGACGAGGGTTAAACTCTTACAACAGGTACCTACATTCATACATATACATGCTTGCAGTTTTACAACTACAAAGTACATGATATGTGTATGCCCTTATAAAGAATATTATACATATATGCCCTTATAAGGAAAATTATACATGTATGCCCTTATTAGGAATATTATACATGTATGCCCTTATAATGAACATCATGATAGTTATGAGTAAACAGGGATATAACACACTCAATTATGTAGAAATACAAAAGCATCAATCAATAAACCCTTTCCAATAGACTTGCTTTATTACGTCCCCTCCAGAAGTTGTGAAATATTGTTATAGTATCCAACTTTTTGTGGACAGTGTTTGGCAGTTGGTGTTTGGTGGTTGGCATGTGGTGATTGGCATTTAGTTGTTGGCACCCGTGCCAACCGGCAGATGGTGACATTTTGCATGATAATGCCTTATCTAAATTGATGCACCAAAACTCTGAAGTGTCCGAATCGAATGCACAAGTATTCAGTTTAAATATTTCAGGTACCACACAGAATTTTTTAAATTTCAATTTCAGATTGAGTTGTTTGTAGAACATCTCCAGAGTGACACAGTAAACAATCAAATCTTCCCAAATATTGCTCAAGGTTTTATGGACTCCAACCCAGTAGTACGAGAGAGTACAATAAAGGTAGGTGGAGTGTATAGAAAAAATATACATTACTCTAGTATACATTGATCATGTCGTGTGAAGTGGAAGCGAGATTCGACTTCACTTCACTACAGATGTGACATATACTAATCATGCAGCCCAGCGCGATTGCATCTTAGCTAATTGTTTGAAAAAATATATAAATAAAATTTTAATGAAATAGAATAAGATTTATAATGTTTATGTGCCCTGGGCTTTCCACAATGATATTAGAAAAAACAACCCAAAAACATACAACATTGTATTAAAACCCTTACATACAACTAATAGACCTCAAAAACTGGAATTCAAATCAACAATTGAAATTATATTCTCTCTATATTTATATTTCAGGCAATGCTACATGTGGCTGAGAAACTGAACTATAAAAATATGAATGAAGAGTTACTGAAACATTTTGCTAGATTGCAGTCTAAGGATGATCAGGTATTACCCTATTTCCTAAAGTTTGAATCGCTTCTTCTCAGAGAGCTTCATCTCTACTCTCACACCTGGTGATCGGAAAAAACGGGATGGAGGGAAGGGGAGCAGGCACTTTCTGCTAGAAAATTCAACACATCTGGAAGATTTATTTCTAAGAGAGAGTTTACTGCTGAATGTACCGATCACCAGGCGTGACTCTATAGATTAGAGATTATTTCTTGAGCCAGCCTTACTAAATCAGATGAGGTCATTCAAGGTGCCCATTCAGAATTTCATTCACAAAATTTTATGCCTTCCTGAAGTAGCTGTTATTGCTTATTTCCTATAATGAAACTCACAAAAGGCTGTGGCAGCTTTTGGGGTCAGTCAGTGCAGTTGTGACAAAAACCAATAAGGCAAGTATGGTGAAATTCTAAGTAAAAATTATGAGCAAAATGAAATGAATTTCTCAAACACACATGATTTTTTACCATTTTACAGGATAATGGTAGTTTTTTATTTTTTTAGTGTATGATCTGTATAGTATCGGTATTACAATGTGATTTCTGTTCTTAGGGTGGAATAAGGACCAACACAACGGTATGCCTCGGTAAGATAGCATGTCACATCAATCCTGCAATGCGACAGAAGGTTCTCATCTCTGCATTCCTACGTGCCATTAAGGACCCCTTCCCACCAGCACGACAAGCTGGTGTCCTTGCCATGGCGAGTACTCATAATTATTACACACTGAAAGAGAGCTGTATGCGGCTGTTGCCAGCATTGTGTTCACTGACTATGGACCCGGAGAAAATAGTGCGAGATCAGGTTAGTCCTTTGTGCCTTATCTGTAAAGGTTAGCAAATTGGACTTCTAATGCCAAGGTCCAGGTCCTCTCAGATTAATATGGGGATCTGTTTCTACCTTCAGATATTAACTTACATTATCCTACCGCACATATATGACATATGGTGTCTCGTGTGAGTCCCTCCAAGGCCTTCATGTATTTCAAAACACCAAAATGCTCCTTTGCGCCTCCTGAAAATGTTACAATGAAAAAAAAGGAAAATCCTTTAGCGTTGCACTAAAATCACAAATTCCTAAAATTCTGCGTTAAGGCTACAAAATTCTAAAATGTTGCACACAACCCATAGAATCCTTTACACAAAATATTTCTTTAGAAGAGCACTGTTAATGACAGTGTTGCATTCACAGACAAATTCTCAACCAGCTGTTAAATAACTAAATATCTATGGAGTATAATAATATAAAAGTACATGTTCAGAAAAATCCTTTAGGCTTAAATGTTAAGAAACCCTATCTGTAAGGAAAAGTTTGGCCAGTATGAAGGGTGTTCCATGTACACAAGTTTTGATATCATAGAATCAAAAACCAAGTCCCTTTGGATGAAATATCAATATATCCTATCTGTGAGGAATATGCAATGAAACTTTTGGCAGGCATATAAGGTGTTCCATGTACACAAGTTTTGCTATCGTAGAATCAAAAACCAAGCTCCTTTGGGAATAAATATTAATAAATCCTCACTATAAGGAAAATTTTGACTAGTATTGAGGGTGATCTATGTAAACACACATCGGGTTTTAGTTTTAGTGTAGTTATGTAATTCTGTGTCATTTCCAGGCTTTCAATTGCATCAGATGCTTCCTGGGGAAGTTAGAGAAAGCATCAGAAAATCCAGAAGAGCTGTCTAATTTAGGTAAGTTGAAGTATGGGTAAAATTTTTGAAACATAATTTAAATGTGAATGTCGGTAGTTCGATTTAAGGAAATCATTCAAGTCTGTAATTAAGGAAAGCTAGTCCTCAGTTTGGACAGAGTCAAATTTCTGTTGATCATAAAACCAGAAAAAAGTAGGGAATAGACTTTTCCAATAAACCCTGCCAATTTTTGGTACATCAAAGAAACAATGATATATTGGCTAGATTGATGATGTCATAAGCTGTACTTCTTCAAAATAAGCAGTAAGTCAGATTGCTACCTACAACCAATGACATCATCAATCTGGCGAATATATCATAGTTTCTTTGATGATCAAAAGGTGGCAAGGTTTATGGGAAAAGTCTATTGTAGTCGTCTTGGACAGTGAGCAGTGGCGCCTCTTTTTTCTTGTCTGGACATTTACAGACAAAATGCTGAACAGATTGTTTTTAAAATTTGGGGCTCTGTTGGTCATTATGTAGGCTCTATAATGTAATTGGTTTATTAAAAAATACAGAAAGGGTGATTACATGTTGTACGATAGCTCCCATTTTTTATTTGCAGAGAAAGATGTGCTTTCCGGGAGTGGAGTGAACAATTCTGCGAGTTGGGCTGGCTGGGCTGTGACAGGAATGTCATCTCTCACTTCAAAAATATACAAACCCAAGGGACCAAACAAACCAACTACAACTAATACTCAAAATGGTAAATCATTTTTATCATTAAAATATACAAACCCAAGGGACCAAGCAAACCAACTACAACTAATACTCAAAATGGTAAATCATTTTTATCATTAAAATATACAAACCCAAGGGACCAAACAAACCAACTACAACTAATACTTAAAATGGTAAATCATTTTTATCATTAAAATATACAAACCAAAGGGACCAAGCAAACCAACTACAACTAATACTCAAAATGGTAAATCATTTTTATCATTAAAATATACAAACCCAAGGGACCAAACAAACCAACTACAACTAATACTCAAAATGGTAAATCATTTTTATCATTAAAATATACAAACCCAAGGGACCAAGCAAACCAACTACAACTAATACTCAAAATGGTAAATTATTTTTAACATTAAAATGTACAAACCTGAGGGACCAAACAAACCAACTACAACTAATACTCAAAATGGTAAATCATTTTTATCATTAAAATATACAAACCCAAGGGACCAAGCAAACCAACTACAACTAATACTCAAAATGGTAAATCAGTTTTATCATTAAAATATACAAACCCAAGGGACCAAACAAACCAACTACAACTAATACTCAAAATGGAAAATCATTTTTATCATTAAAATATACAAACCCAAGGGACCAAGCAAACCAACTACAACTAATACTCAAAATGGTAAATCATTTTTATCATTAAAATATACAAACCCAAGGGACCAAGCAAACCAACTACAACTAATACTCAAAATGGTAAATCATTTTTATCATTAAAATATACAAACCCAAGGGACCAAGCAAACCAACTACAACTAATACTCAAAATGGTAAATCATTTTTATCATTAAAATATACAAACCCAAGGGACCAAGCAAACCAACTACAACTAATACTCAAAATGGTAAATCATTTTTATCATTAAAATATACAAACCCAAGGGACCAAACAAACCAACTACAACTAATACTCAAAATGGTAAATCATTTTTATCATTAAAATATACAAACCCAAGGGACCAAGCAAACCAACTACAACTAATACTCAAAATGGTAAATCATTTTTATCATTAAAATATACAAACCCAAGGGACCAAACAAACCAACTACAACTAATACTCAAAATGGTAAATCATTTTTATCATTAAAATATACAAACCCAAGGGACCAAGCAAACCAACTACAACTAATACTCAAAATGGTAAATCATTTTTATCATTAAAATATACAAACCCAAGGGACCAAACAAACCAACTACAACTAATACTCAAAATGGTAAATCATTTTTATCATTAAAATATACAAACCCAAGGGACCAAGCAAACCAACTACAACTAATACTCAAAATGGTAAATCATTTTTATCATTAAAATATACAAACCAAAGGGACCAAACAAACCAACTACAACTAATACTCAAAATGGTAAATCATTTTTATCATTAAAATATACAAACCCAAGGGACCAAACAAACCAACTACAACTAATACTCAAAATGGTAAATTATTTTTATCATTAAAATATACAAACCCAAGGGACCAAGCAAACCAACTACAACTAATACTCAAAATGGTAAATCATTTTTATCATTAAAATATACAAACCCAAGGGACCAAGCAAACCAACTACAACTAATACTCAAAATGGTAAATCATTTTTATCATTAAAATGTACAAACCCGAGGGACCAAACAAACCAACTACAACTAATACTCAAAATGGTAAATCATTTTTATCATTAAAATATACAAACCCAAGGGACCAAGCAAACCAACTACAACTAATACTCAAAATGGTAAATCATTTTTATCATTAAAATATACAAACCCAAGGGACCAAGCAAACCAACTACAACTAATACTCAAAATGGTAAATCATTTTTATCATTAAAATATACAAACCCGAGGGACCAAGCAAACCAACTACAACTAATACTCAAAATGGTAAATCATTTTTATCATTAAAATGTACAAACCCGAGGGACCAAACAAACCAACTACAACTAATACTCAAAATGGTAAATCATTTTTATCATTAAAATATACAAACCCGAGGGACCAAGCAAACCAACTACAACTAATACTCAAAATGGTAAATCATTTTTATCATTAAAATGTACAAACCCGAGGGACCAAACAAACCAACTACAACTAATACTCAAAATGGTAAATTATTTTTAACATTAAAATATACAAACCCAAGGGACCAAACAAACTAACTACAACTAATACTCAAAATGGTAAATTATTTTTAACATTAAAATATACAAACCCAAGGGACCAAACAAACCAACTACAACTAATACTCAAAATGGTAAATTATTTTTATCATTATTGTATTGTAAAACTTTAATCCAAATACTGGAGTTAACATTGCCCGTGGCCATCTAGATATTCACATAAGCCGATATACACTTTCAGATAAGGGTTATGTACTGGGAGGTTTTGGATATGGGGTTTATCAAGAGGGGGAAATGCATATCCCCCGAGAGATAAATTCCAAACTGACTGTACATGAATGTTAGCCTATACCCAGAGTTTTCTAAAAAAGATATTCCAAATTTTTTTTTTAAAAATTTCATTTAATTACGTACCATGAACGGTTTCTAAACATGGAAAAATTGGAGAATTAGAAATTATATGTAAAATGTTCAGCTTGAAAAAAAAACTAATGGTGCAAAAACTTTTTTTCAATCCATTTCTTTCTGATGTATTCTGCTGAAATTTTCTCATCACATAATAAAATGTAACTAATAACGAAAGTGTAATTTATCTAGAACAGAAGTAAAGGAAGATGTGCGATTATTGGCATATATCCCTATGGTCAAAATGAATCATTCTTAGGTGTAGCATGAAGAATAGAATGTTATATAATACTTTGGGCACACATAAGCTGAGATAGGGATCATTTTGTTCAGTAAGGTTGTATTGACTTACATGGGACTGTGCACCATTGACTTAACATGGGGTTATCATCAGATCCAAATAGAGGCCATTGGATTCCATTGATTATCACAGAAATCCCAAAAATACACTATGACCTGAATCGATTGGAAACTTAATAATTTCACAATATGACACAAATGGTTCATCTCATTAAATGTGCAAATGTGAAGTTTGCAATTGATTCAGGTCATACTTTAAATTAAAAGATTGTAGATATTTTCATCATTTTTTCCCTACAAAATGGCCATAGAAAAATGCTCCAAAAACATATACACTTATCAAATATCATAAAACTTTGCAAAACCAAAGATTATTATATTATATTTCATTATTTAGTATCATATTTGGATAAGATGTAGGGATGCGTAGGATGCAAATGGATTTTGATAGACACAAAAATACTTCCTGGTTTGGAATCTACACCTCTACACTTCATGATTGAATTATGAGCCTAATAAGTGGCCAATACATCAATATAATGCCGAATATAGGTCAACAAGAAACTAGTGTGCATATAAATGTAATAATAAAAGCAGTACACTAATTTTGAAAAATCAGATGAATTAATTTTTTTTCATGGGGAGATCATAATGGCAAGCGCTTTGGGATGGTTATGTTCTGCATAATAATAATTGCACCTAATAAATGTTATAAGATATTATTACCACCTTGCCGGGCCAGTTCTAGGGGTTTTAGTGCTAGTTTAGAAGGCATTCATTTTACTATATCGACCTGAGAAATGTGTGACGTCATAGTGGTGGTCCATATGGACCGGTCTAGAATATATTCTGGACCGGCAATTTTCCCCGGGAAATTATATATCGTTCAATGCGTAAGATTTTCTTGCTGTTTCAGTCCTGGTCGTTAACGGTGGTAATAATACTAATAACGTCATTTCTGTGAGCAATATAGTGAAATATTGGACCTTGGGCCTTCGGCCCTCGATCCAATATTTCACTATATTGCCCTTAGAAATGACGTTATTGTACTAGTATTAGAATCAGCTCTACACCTAAAATGCACCTAATAAATGCTATTACAATTTTTTTCAATACTTTGTAAAGGGCATTGCGCTTTTTTCCAATATCAGCCATATAAATGTGATGGATCAAAAAAGAATATGACGCAAAACCATAGGACAACCTACCCACTGAAATCCATCATCTTCAAATTCCAAGTGTTTGAGTAGCTAAAACCTTGAGAATGAAGATGGAAATCCATATTACTTCTATATTTTACATTGTTTCTATTTATTGAAGCCATTATGGGCCATTTACCATCAATGGATAATGACTTAATTGACCAAGTCAAAGTTAAGTAATGTCAAGTTAACTACACTGTATATAACCAATAGTGTACCAATAACAAACAGGCATCATATGGAATACAGCAATGTCTTTAAATACAAGTTTTAGTAACAGTTTACAAGAAGCAAGCATCAGGCATAGTAATCCATATTGGGCTTGATGTTATGGCAAAGAATGCATAATGACAGAATAAGGCAATGCCTATTAATGCAACTATATGACTGTACCAATAGTATACTAGAAGCAGACATAGAATAAAGCAATCCATAATGGACAAGGATTTTGTTGCAAATCTGTATTATAGACTTTGATTGTTACCTTGAGATTTAGAGCAAGATATATGAGGTAGATAAAGCCCTCTTTTATTGGAACAAAGTCAAACTATGGGAAGGTGTAAAGATCATTGAAACAAAAAGAGTGTGTACCATACTTTAAGTTGGTATATCCATACATGAGGCAGCAGGTATGAAGCGTATACTAAAAGATTTTTCAAGTAACACCACTGCCCATGGCTGGGGGAATATCCATCAAAGAACAACAACACTCAGTAAGGTGATATGGATTATCATATGCCTGGGATGTACGGCCGTAGCTATATGGCAGGTCATCACCATAGTGATGCGATATGGCCTGTTTGAAACAAAGGACAGAATCAAGGTTGAGGTTGGAGAGATTGTTTTTCCATCTGTCACTGTGTGTCCTTTAATTCCAGTACCTCATGATGGGAACTTAAAGTTTGAGAGAGATATGAAAAAAGGCAACATCGATGTTGAACCTTTTCTTAACTTTCGATTAGTTTTTCATAGTGAAACTTTTTACATCAATAGTAATGTTTCACATAATCTTCATTCAGAGAAATTAGAATTTTACAATGTGTTTGCCGAACAGATATATTCAAACCAAGGATTTTTTGAAAATTTTAAATTCATGTCGGATTACACTCATCAACAGGGGAATTTCATACCTGTATGTAGTTATCAAGGAAAGCCCTGTTTGCGATCAGATTTCCACACTTTGGATCATCCTGAATATAATTCATGCTTTACATTCAATGGAGCAAACAAAACTATCAATAATCCTATTACAAAAATTACAGGCCCTAAAGGGGGGCTTAGTTTGGTATTGTATCTTGATGTGGGTCAACTTTCAATGATATACACTCCAAGTTATCCAACCAGTGGGAGTCAAGGTGTACGAGTTGTTATACATGAAAAGGGAACACTTCCTGATCCAGAAAACGATGGATTTGATATTGAGCCTGGACACTCCATCAATGCAGCTTTGTCTGTCAATGAGCGACGTCTTATGAAACCACCCTGGGGGGAATGTAATGATCAGAATCCTGAACTTAAAGGTGGTTTTACATATACAAAAAAGCATTGTCAGCTGAGTTGTCTTCAGAAATTCTTCTACAGAACATGCGGATGTATCAAATCCTCATTACCGATCGATGAAGAAACAGTTTACAAAGAATATTGTCTGAAACTACATGCGAAAGAATGGGCAAAACTTACAACCGATCAGTATAACAAAACAACAATTGTGAGTGACATGGAAAATTTTCGTTGTCAAAATCGCGAATTCCTCTCCTCAGATGTCGAGGTACAAGATGGTTGTCAATGCTTGGAAAAGTGTTCATATCAAACCTATGATATGACACTTTCCCAGTCAGAATGGCCAATGAAGGGTGTAGAAATAGAATTTTACTGTCGCACGATCATGTCCATGGACAGTTATATCAACTCAAGCATATATGACAGATTTCATGATATTTTCCCTGAATATTGTGATCATTCAAAAGATGAAGACTTACTCACAAAAATACAAAAAGAAACCTTGCGAGAAAACTTTATACGCTTAAATGTGTATTTCAAAGATCTCGAGACTAAAATAACCAATCAGGTTGAAGATTTTACTATCAGCTCGATGATCTCAGAAATTGGAGGCAGTTTGGGATTCTTCGTTGGTATGTCCATTATAACTATCGCAGAAATAATCCTACTGTGTTGGAATATCACATGTCTACTTGGAAAGAAGTTTGTTATCTCACCGTTTGAACAAAAAATCGGAAGTGACATGAAACATGCTTCAACAAATACAAGCTAAAAATATGTTTAGACCACTGAAACTTAAAACATATGTTTGACATCCTTTCCTCTGTAGATTGATGCGAAATAAATACCCAGTAATGAGAGTTTTTAAGTGACCTTTTTCGATTAATTTAAACCCCTCATAGATATTTTTACCTCTCACAGTCACTTGACAGGATGTTCAACATATGATTAACTTTGAATGATCTTAGTGTACTTGATCCATAGAAATACAAAGAATTTATGTGTTGGAGTTGATTTGTTAACGTTTCATTTTCATTCATGTGTGATGAAAACATCTTTGCAAATTTTTCTTCACACTTATATATTAAGCATGAAGACAAAACTTCACCAGTTCACCATTATGAAACTTCAGATTTAAATGTGTTCATAGCTTTGAAAGAGCTACTTACTCGACTATCTATTAGTAATGCATTAGTGTGTCTCACATTTATAGATTTTTAATTGTTATAAATGGACATGAAATAATATGTAAATAAAAGTCTTTTGGTTTTATTAAAGTGAATATTTGTGAATGTCATTTATGTAATTTTCCCATTAGTTCAATTGTATATATAACAGAAGGCATTCCACTTAAGTTTCTTTCCCCAATTCTGGCAAATGGGTTGATGGATTGATTTCAAATTTTTAGAATCTCTCCTTGCCATTGATCTTGAAGTAATTTGTTTTTTTGGCATTCTGGGTTTATTATTAGGTAACCATTTTGGTTTTTCCATCCTACAATCCTGTCTGTTCAGTCTTGTCAATACCTTTAGCAGCAAACTATTATTTGGAATGATTTCAAATTCTTTTTGGATGCTTCTTTGTATAAAAATCTTGTAAAAGTGAATGGATTATTTAAGTGAATTTTCCTTTATGCTATATTTAATGCAACTTCCCCATTAGACTAAGTTCAATTATATATAACTGTGGGGAATCCCACATAATTGTCTACACATTCCCATACAATCGTTTTGACAATTTCAAATTTTTAGGGATTAATTTTAAATATATCTCAATGATTTGTTTTTGGCATTCTGGGTAAATGATTAGTAGCCATTTTGGTTTTCAATCTTTAAATCCTGTCAGTTAAGTCTTGTTAATACCTATATAAGTGGCGAAACCATTAGATGGAATAGTTAATGGATAAGTTAAGTTTTGTCTACACATTTCCAGTTGAACTGTTTCACAGATTGATTTCACCTAGCAAGCTACTCTTTCCCATGGGACACTTTGAGATGAACCTGACCTAAAAAGGTTGACCTTAACATCAGGTCACTGATTCATGAATCGCCATGGGTCACTGCAGCCACCAAGACCATTAAAACACAAAATTCCTAGATATTGACCTTTGACCTTGAGATGACTGACTCATAAATGTTGACATTGACCTCAGGTCACCTAATTTTGGTTAGCCAATGGTCACAACAGCACCTCCTTGTTCAAACCCATCTGTGTTTATCAGATAGGAGACTCGTTCCTCCACTTCTTCTGGCCCTTCATCTTTTTAGCTCACATGGTGAGCTTTTGCAATCACTCACTTGTCCGTCTGTCTGTCCGTCTGTCTGTCCGTCTGTCTGTCTGTCCGTCAACAATAGTGGCACGTTTTAAAACCTCTGTCGATAAGATTCCTGTTTTAAGTTATTTCTGTTCAACATCAATACAGAAAACCCCCCTATGACTCCTGGTTCAAAAGCTCGCCTCTTTTCAAAATGGCCTTCACTTTTGTCTCGCGAAATTCACTTTTAGCCCATTTCCTAGCTAACCTCTGTCGATAGGATTCCTGTTTTAAGTTATTTCTGTTCAACATCAATACAGAAAACCCCCCTATGACTCCTGGTTCAAAAGCTCGCCTATTTTCAAAATGGCCGTCACTTTTGTCTCGCGGAATTCACTTTTGGCTAATTTCCTAGCTTTACAAATAATTTCAGGTGTCCTACATTGTAAAAGTCCATGTCAATGTAAAGATTAGATATATGAAATAATTTTGTTACAAAAAATCAGCGAAAAATTGTATCCATTTTTTTATTTTCAGCCATTTTAGTTAACATTGATTTGTCTATCTGACTCGCGAAATCCACTTTCTGTCAATAACAGTGGCACGTTTTAAAACCTCTGTCAATAGGATTCCTGTTTTAAGTTATTTCTGTTCAACATGAATTCAGAAAACTCCCCTATGACTCCTGGTTCAAAAGCTCGCCTATTTTCAAAATGGCCGCCATTTTTGTCTCGCGAAATTCACTTTTGACCCATTTCCTAACTTTACAAATAATTTCAAGTGTCCTACATTGTAGAAATCCATTGCAAAGTAAAGAGTAGATGTATGAAATAATTTTGTTACGAAAAATCAGCGAAAAATTATATCCTTTACCCTAAACCCTCTGTCGATAGGATTCCCATTTTAAGTTAATTTTGTTCAACATCAATACAAAAAACTCTCCTATGACTCTTGGTTCAAAAGCTCGCCTATTTTCAAAATGGTTGCCATTCTTGTTTCGCGAAATTCACTTTTTGCCCATTTCCTAGCTTTACAAATAATTTCAGCTGTCCTGCATTGTAAAAAGCCATGTCACTGTAAAAGGTAGTTGTATGAAATAATTTTGTTACAAAAAATCGGCAAAATATTATATCCATTTTTTTATTTTCAGCCATTTTAGTTAACATTGATTTGTCCATCTGTCTCGCGAAATCCTCTTTTGGACCATTTGCTTAAAACCTCTGTCGATAGGATTCCAGTTTCAAGTTATTTTTGTTCAACATCAATACAAAAAGCTCCCCTATGACTCCTGGTTCAAAAGCTTGCCTGATTTCAAAATGGTCGCCATTTTTGTCTCGCGAAATTCAATTTTGGCCCATTTCCTAGCTTTACAAATAATTTCAGGTGTCTTGCTGTGCAAAAAGCCATGTCACTGTAAAGAGTAGTTGTATGAAATAATTTTGTTACAAGTTATTGGCAAAAAATTATATCCATTTGTTTTTCAGCCATTTTAATTGACTGAGAGACAGATGGCTTGAAATAATTTTGTAACAAAAAATCAGCAAAAAATGTGACCATGTGAGCCCAGTACCCATGGTACTAATTTTTTAGTATGGCTACTCCTCAGTTGTTACCAAAAGTCCACCACACCTTATGGTCTTCGAATCACTTTATTTCTCATTGTCCGTGTGACATTGCATGGCATGGCCATGGTCTCTCAGTGTCTAACATGTGCAAAGTAAAATTTGAAATCTAGGAAATGGTGTTTATTTCAGTTTAACATCAGTTCAACATCATCATTTTAAAACTATGATAACACTATTGAAGTTGATCGATCAAAACCTGTAGAGAATACTCATAAAACACCAGCAAACAATGAGAGATCGATTTCAATGGTAAATGAGGCCTGTTTATAAAATTATCGAACATAAAGAATACTAGAGGTCATCTTTGGGAAATCTCCGCCTAGCTCTTAAACTCATTTGGTCAGTTTGTCATATTGAAACCAACTTTTAATCCATAAATCTTCGATATTTTCTATTACTTCTATTTATTGAGGCCATTCATGGATAAATGGATATTGACTTAAGAGATCAAGTCAAAATTTTAAGTAATGCAGAGTTATTAAAACATTCCTAACAGAATAACCTATTAAGCATATGATTTTCAACACACCATGTAATGTTTGCCTATTTATACTACATAACCATAAGTAGACAAGAACCATGGGAACAAGACTAACAGGCATCATATGGAATACAGCAATGTCTTTAAATACAAGTTCCAGTAACAGTTTACAAGAAGCAAGCATCAGACATAGTAATCCATATTGGGCTTGATGTTATAGCAAAGAATGCATAATTACAGAATATAGCAATGCCTATATAAATGCAAGTCTATGACTGTACCAATACCAGATTTTGACATGAGTGTGTACCATAATTTAAGCGGGTATGAATCGTATACTAAAAGATTTTTCAAGTAACATGTAAGAGACAGAGCCTAGTAGATAAAGCTCTCTTTTGTAGAAGAAATAACAAAATGAAAGTGATCATGGAAATATACAGACTGAAACTTACAATGTATATATATGGGCAGCAGATATGAAGCGCACACTTAAAGATTTTTCAAGTAACACAACTGCCCACGGCTGGGGGAATATCCACCAAAGAACAACAACTTTTAGTAAGATAATATGGATAATCATATGCTTGGGATGTACTGGCGTAGCTTTATGGCAGGTCATCACCATAGTGATGCGATATGGCCTGTTTGAAACAAAGGACAGAATCAAGGTTGAGGTTGGAGAGATTGTATTTCCATCTGTCACAGTATGTCCTTTAATTCCAATACCTCATGATGGGAACTTGAAGTTTGGGAGAGATATGAAAAATGGTGAGATCGATGGTGAACCTTTTATTTACTTTGGATTAGTTTTACGTAGTGAAACTTTTTACATCAATAGTAATGTTTCACAAAATCTTCATTCAGAGAAGTTGGAATTTTACAATGTGTTTGCCAAACAGATATATTCAAACCAAGGATATTTTGAAAATTTTAATTTCATGTCAGATTACACTCATCAACTAGGGAATTTCATACCTGTATGTAGTTATCAAGGAAGACAATGTTTGCGATCAGATTTCCACATTTTGGATCATCCTGAATACTTTTCATGCTTTACATTCAATGGAGCAAACAAAACTATTGATAATCCTATTACAAAAATTACAGGCCCTAAAGGGGGGCTTAGTTTGGTATTGTATCTTGATGTGGGTCAACTTTCAATGATATACACTCCAAGTTATCCAACCAGTGGGAGTCAAGGTGTACGAGTTGTTATACATGAAAAGGGAACACTTCCTGATCCAGAAAACGATGGATTTGATATTGAGCCAGGACACTCCATCAATGCAGCTTTGTCTGTCAATGAACGACGTCTCATGAAACCACCCTGGGGGGAATGTAATGATCAGAATCCTGAACTTTACAGTGGTTTTACATATACAAAAAAGCATTGTCAGCTGAGTTGTCTTCAGAAATTCATCTACAGAACATGCGGATGTATCAAATCCTCATTACCGATCGATGAAGAAACAGTTTACAAAGAATATTGTCTGAAACTACATGCGAAAGAATGGGCAAAACTTACAACCAATCAGTATAACAAAACAACAATTGTGAGTGACATGGAAAATTTTCGTTGTCAAAATCGGGAATTCCTCTCCTCAGATGTCGAGGTACAAGATGGTTGTCAATGCTTGGAAAAGTGTTCATATCAAACCTATGATATGACACTTTCCCAGTCAGAATGGCCAATGAAGGGTATAGAAATAGAATTTTACTGCCGCACGATCATGTCCATGGACAGTTATATCAACTCAAGCATATATGACAGATTTCATGATATTTTCCCTGAATATTGTGATCATTCAAAAGATGAAGACTTACTCACAAAAATACAAAAAGAAACCTTGCGAGAAAACTTTATACGCTTAAATGTGTATTTCAAAGATCTCGAGACTAAAATAACCAATCAGGTTGAAGATTTTACTATCAGCTCAATGATCTCAGAAATTGGAGGCAGTTTGGGATTCTTCGTTGGTATGTCCATCATAACTATCGCAGAAATAATCTTACTGTGTTGGAATATCACTAGTCTAATTGGAAAGAAGTTTTGTATCTCACCAACTGAACAAAAAATCGGAAGTGACGTAAAACATGCTTGGACAAATACAAGCTGAAAATTTGTTTAGACCACTCAAACTTAAACATATGTTTGACATCCCTTCCATTGTAGATTGATGCAAATTCAGAAAATAAATACCCAGTAGTGAGAGTTTATAAGTGCCCTTTTGGATTAATTTAAACCCCTTATAGAGATTTTTTACCTCCCACAGCCACTTGACAGGATGTTTAACATATGATAAACTTTGAATGCAAAGGATTATGTGCGGGAGTTGATTTGTTAAAGTTTCATTCATGTGTGACGGAAAAATCTTTGTAAATTATTCTTCACACTATATATTAAGCATGAAGACAAAACTTCACCATTGGGAAACTTCAGATTTTATCATGGTGGCTCTCCAAAAATCATTTTATACATTAAATGCCTTTATATCTTTGAAAGAGCTACTTACTAGACTATCTATTAGTAGTCTTATACCACATGCATTAGTGTGTCTCACATTTATAGATTTTTAATTGTTATAAATGGACATGAAATAATATGTAAATAAAAGTCTTTTGGTTTTATTAAAGTGAATATTTGTGAATGTTGTTTAGTGAAATTTCCCCATTAGTTCAATTGTATATATAACAGAAGGCATTCTACTTAATTTTCTCTACCCACTTCTGGCAAATGTGTTGATCGATTGATTTCAATTTTTTTACTCTTTCTTTGTCATAGATGTGGAAATGATTTGGATTTATGATTAGGTTAGATTTCCATCTTACAACCCTGTCTGTTAAGTCTTGTTAATCCCTTTTTTGGCAAACTATCAAATGGAATGATTTCAAATTTTTATGGATGCTTCTTTGTATAAAAATCTCAAACTGATTTAACTTTATGCATTCAGGATAAACATTATATTAAGGCAATCATTTTGGATCCATAAATCTTGTCTGTAAAGTTTTGACTCCACATTTCTAGGTGAATGGATTGACATATTGATTTCAACTAGCAATCTGCCGGTTCCCGTATGTCACCTCATGGTTCAAATCCATCTGTGTTTTACAGTTAGGAGACTCCTTCTTACGCTGTTTTTATTGCTTCTGGCACATCATTTTTTGCATTTGGCTACTGCTCAGTTGTTCTTGAAAAGTCCAACACAGGTCTTCAGGTCTTCTTATCAATTTTTTTGTAAAATCAGTCCAATGTCAGGGAGTTGGCACCAACACCCTTGTTTGCCGTCTCTCCAGCTATCACTTTTCTTTTACTGATATTGGGACTTTCCCCTGTGTCACTGTCACTCCTAGGGTTATTTTTGATAAACACAAGATAGTGCCCTGCTACAATGTTACTGCCTGCCTTTAAACTCATTCAATCAGTTTGTCATGTTTTTACCAACTTTTGTCATGTTGTTACCAACTTTTACATCCCAAGACAATTTGTACGCCATTATTGCCAGACTTGTCAATAACTTTCAACAGATGTACATCATTACAGATTCAAAAACTCCCGCCAGTATGACAGGCATTGTTACGTAGTGATTGAATTAGATTGCCAGATTGCCAATTGAGTGTGACATTATTTTCATCCACTAACTTATATCAATATCTACAGTTTACAACACTCCCTTAGTAGATATTGATTTCAATGAGTGGATAAAATGAAAGTCGAAATCAAATGATATCCAATTCAAACACTGTTGCCATAACATGTGAGATTCAAGTTAAAATCAATATGACTTTTTTATAATTAACATTACTTTTATTCATTTACCCCATTAAGCGGCATTTGCAGTTTGCACCATTAATGGATATTGACTGAATGTATAAAGCAAATGCAAGCACCAGTACAAGTAAAAAAATTACATGTATACAAGAATCAGGCAAAGGTCGTAGCAATTCATATTGTCTTTAAATGCAAGTATATAGCAGTACCAATAGAGGTGGACATCGAACACAGCAATCCATAATTTACTATTGTACCAAGATTTAAAGGCAGAGAAATCGTTGGGAATCTTTATTGAGGCTGAGATCATTACCATATTAGAGACAGAGCCAAGTAAATAAAGCTCTCTTTTGTTGAAGAAACAACAAAATGAAAGGTAGTGATCATGGAAATATAAAGACTGAAAGTTTCATTATATATATGGGCAGCAGATATGAAGCGTACACTTAAAGATTTTTCAAGTAACACCACTGCCCATGGTTGGGGGAATATCCATCAAAGAACAACAACACTTAGTAAGGTAATATGGATTATCATATGTCTGGGATGTACTGGCGTAGCTATATGGCAGGTCCTCACCATAGTGATGCGATATGGCCTGTTTGAAACGAAGGACAGAATCAAGGTTGAGGTCGGAGAGATTCTTTTTCCATCTGTCACTGTGTGTCCTTTAATTCCAATACCTCATGATGGGAACTTAAAATTTGAGAGAGAGGTAAATGAAGGCAAGATGGATGATAAACCTTTTGTTTCCTTAGGAAAGGTTTTACTAGGTAAAACTTCTTACATCAATAGTAATGTTTCACAAAATCTTCATTCAGAGAAACTGGAATTTTACAATGTGTTTGCAGAACAGATATATTCAAACCAAGGATTTTTTGAAAATTTTAATTTCATGTCAGGTTACACTCATCAACTTGGGAATTTCATACCTGTTTGTAGTTATCAAGGAAGACCATGTTTGCGATCGGATTTCCATGTTTCGGATCACCCTGAATATTATTCATGCTTTACATTCAACGGAGCTAACAAAACAATTGCTAATCCTGTTACAAAAATCACAGGCCCTAAAGGGGGGGCTTAGTTTCATATTGTATCTTGATGTGAGTGAATCTTCAATGATATACACTCCAAGTTATCCAACCAGTGGGAGTCAAGGTGTACGAGTTGTTATACATGAAAAAGGAACACTTCCCGATCCAGAAAATGATGGATTTGATATTGAGCTTGGACATTCCATCAATGCAGCTTTGTCCGTCAATGAACGACGTCTTATGAAACCACCATGGGGTGAATGTACTGATCATAATGCTAACCTTTTTGGCGGTTTTACATACACAAAAAAGCATTGTCAACTAAGTTGCCTTCAGAAATTCTTCTACAGAACATGCGGATGTATCAAATCCTCATTACCTATCAATGAAGAAACAGCTTATAAAGAATATTGTCTTAAACTAAATATAAAAGAATGGGCAAAACTTACAACCAATCAGTATAACAAAACAACAATTATGAGTGACATGGAAAATTTTCGTTGTCAAAATCGCGAATTCCTCTCCTCAGATGTCGAGGCACAAGATGGTTGTCAATGCTTGGAAAAGTGTTCATATCAAACCTATGATATGACACTTTCCCAGTCAGAATGGCCAATGAAGGGTATAGAAATAGAATTTTACTGTCGCACGATCATGGCCATGGATAATTACCTCAACTCAAGTATATATAAGAAATTTCATGCTATTTTCATTGAATACTGTCATTATTTAAAAGACAGAGACTTACTCCAAAAAATACATCGAGATGCATTGCGAGAAAACTTTATACGCTTAAATGTGTATTTCAAAGACCTCGAGACTAAAATAACCAATCAGGTCGAAGATTTTTCAATCAGCTCGATGATCTCAGAAATCGGAGGCAGTTTGGGATTCTTCGTTGGCATGTCCATCATAACTATCGCAGAAATAATCTTACTGTGTTGGAATATCACACGTCTACTTGGAAAAAAGTTTGTTATTTCACCAACTGAACAAAAAAGTGGAAGTGATGTTAAACATGCCTGGACAAACACAAGCTAGGATATATTTAAGCCATTTTAACTTAAATATATGTTTAACATTCCCTCCCTTTGTACATCGTGCAAATATTCAGAAAACATATTCCCAGATATATACCTGTAAAGTTTCAAAGGACAATTGAAACTTTAAATATGTGATCTAAGGTCATATTATAGTATAAATGTATAGTAGTAAAAGAAGTTCTTGAATTGAAAATAATGTGTATTTTAGTTTCATCTTTGTCTCAATTAACAATTTTATGTGAAGGATTTATAAGTTATTATCTCAGTGATCGGGTTTGACTCAATAGCTTGCACCTACCAGTATACATAGCAGATACTTTTCATGTTTAAATACATTTAAATAATGCAGTTGCACCATTGGTAAATCTTATATCTGCAAATTTTATTTTAATGGTTCTCAAAAATGTTTTGTTTATCCAATGTCTTAATGGCTTTTAACAGTCGGAGCTATTTAGTACACTTGCTAGTAGTGCATTAGCACACACATTAGTGTGTCTTACATTTATAGATATTTAATGATAGTTATAAATGGACATAAAGTAATTTGTAAATAAATGTGTAATGGTCTTGAGTTGGTGAATATTTGTCCATTTATGTTGCTGTTGTTTGTGTAAAAGCAAATGCCATTAAAGTGAATTTTTTCTGATGCCATTTCTGATGCCATTTCTGATGCAATTTCCCCACTAGTTCAGTTATGTATACGGCAAAACCTGTATTATCAGAACATACCTTTGATTGGTAAAAGTTGTCCAGATTGACAAGTGTTCACATCAACGTCTATATTAACATGGGAGTCAATGAGGGGGCAAAAGTGTTTGGGTCTGAGAGGTGTTCAGATATACAAGCTTTACTGTACAAGCATTAGCGATTAGTAAATGACCGCCCTCAAAGTCAGGTCTCGAGAGGTGTAAATAAAGCTCTAAAAGCCCTATTAAGTTCAGAATATATAACTGTTTTGTTCACCAAAGATGTATGTAAATATTTATCTGGAATAAATATTTTATTTATTTTACTAAATAACTTTTAATGGAAATGGTTTAATTTATGTAACAAGGTTAGATGTGACAACTTTGATATTAAAGCTAAACCAGTTTGCTCAATTAAAGTAAAACTGAAAGAGTAATTTAAACCTAAAGGAATCAATTTTATTTAATAATGGATGTATTTCATCCAATCAGTAATGTGGCATAACTGCTTCATTTTGGTACATGTGGTAGCTGCTTAATAAGCAATATTTTAATGTTTTGTGACATATTTTGGCCCCCATGTGACTTCACTGGTCCCCTCGTGGCCCATTTTGGTCCATCCAATCATGATGTCATAATTCAGAGATGTTTTTTCTTTGTTTATACAACACTCTTTTCTTAAACAATGGTTTTCATGAAAACTCTACATTGGGCTTTCAATACAGAAAACCACATTTTTGTATCTGCAAGTTGATAAAACCTTTTTCAGTTGTGCTTTAAATGTATTGAATATTTGACAACAGGAGCTTTGTAGCAACTCTTAAAAATAGAAATACTTTTAGTCTATATCTAATTTTGATTCTAATATTTGTCCAATATTGTTGGGAATCATGGGTTCATTAGGGTCCCTCCTTTGTTGTCAAAATAATGTATTGGGTAGTCTAGAGTATTGAAGTAATGATGCACTGGTGTTAACTGTTAACAATGTACCACTAATATCAGGCCCGTAGCCAGGGGGGGGGTTCGCAGAGTTCGGGCGAACCCCCCCCCCCCCCCCTGGCCAAAAATTCTTTCAAAATCATGCAGTTTTTGACCATTTTGAGCACTTCTCAAGTGATTTTAGCCTAATTTGCGCCAGAATTGTCAAATGTGAATCCCCCTTGAAATTTTTGAAAATTGAACCCCCCCTTGGCAAATCCTGGCTACGGGCCTGAATATAAAGTGTATACCAATAATTAAATATATAAAATGTTGTTTCCCAAACTTCAGCTTCATCAAAAGAATCCACTCCAAGACTCACACCTGAGCGCACCACTGAAGTGCCAACTCCAGCTCCATCTAGTGAGCAAGAAAAGGAAAGTCAAATCGAACAAGATGGTGCAGAAGACGGATGGGACGATGATGATTGGGGAGACATGGGGGTTAGTGTAATCTTTGAACATAATTCCAGGGGAGAATATGATGTCCTGGGCAGAAATTGTGAAACACTTTTTGGATGAACCACTAGTTGTAGACTACACTGTCTAATTCATATTTATGTCTTAAGTCAAATCAAAACTGGAAAGTGGAAATAAAAGGTTTTCACCATTCATGTATTTTTTTGCACTGGACCTTTAAGTTAATTAGCCTTGATTATGACATGGTCTATCATTCTCCAATCATTAGAAACTTTATATGCATTCTTTTTTGTTAGAATCCATATAGTATTTTACTGAATTTCGAAATATGTTTATCTTGCAGGATATGTCGAGTAAGAATGAAGACACAGTTGCATCAAGATTAGAGCCAGTGGAGACATCTAGTGAGGATACTGGGGGCTGGGACAATGATGACAATTGGGGCAGCTTAGAAGATACAAATGTAAGAATTAATTTTTTAAAATTACATGTATTATTCACTTTTATGAAATACTGCATTCTGATTGATTCCGACCCGTAGTCAGGTGGCCAAAAATTCTTTTAATACCATGCAGTTTTTCAAAATCAACATTTTGAGCACTGTTCAAGTGATTTTGGGCCAAAGTTGTCAAAAGCGAACGCCCTGGAATATTTTGAAAAGTGACCCCACCCCCTTGGCTGGCAAAAGCTGATAATGGGCTTTGTCATATCACTTTCTATTTACTAAAAACAATAGAAAAAAATTGCTAAAAACAATCAAGGAAAATCACCTTTGGCCTCCAGCTCATAAAACCAGTTAAACATAAGAAAGCCTTCATACTAATCCAACAAAAAGTTCTAAATCAATCAATGTAATCATGGAAACAAAGACAACATAGTATAAAACTAAAGATCAAGAACTTCTAAACTTTGTAACTTTTCTTATAATTATCCATAGTTGATGAAAACACACATCGAGAATGAAATTATGAGCAGTGTTGATCTGAAAAAGTCAGTTCACCCCAGTGGCGATCGATTTCCAAGACCCGTAAATGCCTCATGTACATCTATTCTGATTATGTTTTTTACAGACACGGACCAGTTCAGTTGGTGGTAGCATGAAACTTGGCGGTAAAAAAGAAACATCAGCGCCCCCTGGTGGCTGGGGAGGATGGGATGATGATGATTTTGCATCCACAGAAGACACAGGACTGAGTAGCACCAGTGCGTACAATTGGGGAGGGGAGGACCAGGGTGGAGATGATTTCTTCAGCAATGTTATATCAGAATCAGCCAAGGTAACTTTTAATTTTATCATTTTTTTATTTCAACATTTAACTTAAATATCTGTTTTGTCATGGTCTATAAAATCGGCACTTATTTTGACTACACCAATCAGAGTATTGACATCTTATAAGCTATATGTAGTAAATTATAACTTTTCTCTATATAATTTGTTACTTGTTTCAATATAAACATGGACTGATAATAAAAGAGTGAAATCCTATCTACACAACACATGTGCAACGTAATGAAAAATATACAAAATATCCACTGCAGGTGGTTACATTTTGGTATTTGATTATTGCCTTTGGGGATTTTTTTATGTGTTTTGTATTGTATTTTGTATTTTGTTTACCACCAATGAAGGTGAGCAATACCTCTTGGGTAATTATCCCGTATATATACGGTCGTAATTTACGTAATCAACATGGAAGATAAACCCAGAAATCCCTCCTCAAAGGAGCCCTGTGTTCTTTTATGTGCACCTATACATAGACATACAAGTACACACCACAGCCTTTTGTACGAGTTGCGGACCACTCAGTCAAACACCCTGAAGTACTTCACGCAAACAAGCAAATTTAGTCTTGCCTGAACCGGGGATCGAGTCCAGGACCTATTGCGTAAGAGGTACCTGCGCTACCGCTGAGCTACACGGGTGGACTGTGTTTTGGAAAATCTCGTACATCTATTAATGACATGTTTAAGACTGAAAAAAGTAACTGAGTGTAATGTCCGGGGCTAAGGCCTTGGGTGGGGATATATAGAATAACAGAAAACCAAAGTTAAAATGTATAAAATAGTCTATTTCAAATAAACTTAGTGTTCTCTATACAATCTCAAAGCAACTACTAAGGCTGGGCCAACACCTTAACTCAAGTGAGTGAATGTTTTCCATATAAGGAATATAAAACAAAACAAAATGAACACGGCATGAACAACAATAAAACAGGTTTGAAACAAAGATAGAGGTAAGGCATGGCAAACAAGAGGATTAAAACAATCGGCACTGATACAATAGTAACCTAGGGACCTGTTATATTGAGAATAAGTGAAATATATAGGACTGATCAATATGAAAAGTGAGAAATATAAAAACATGAAAATGGCCATGTTACATGAGTTTAAAATGAAGTCCAGAAAATTAGCCCGCACTAGCCTTACGATATTTATATTTTATAAATAAGTAAACATCTATTAACACACAAACATATTAAGAAACATATGTCTGTGTAAAGCCCTGTTACCATTGTTTCAAGCTATGAACCATCAAGTTATATGTTTTATAAAACAATGTGTTTTTCAAAATGGACATTTTACTTACACATTGTCTAAATCATCAATGTCCAAGTTTAAATCTGACTCACTAAAATATGCCATAATCTCATCGTAGTTTTTCAATTTCTTCTTCAAAGGCTGTGGATTTTGTTTAACAAGAAAAGAAACCACTTCCCGATCAGTCGGAGCGTATCCCAAATATGTAAATAACTTGTTCATAACATTTATTTTGTCGTTAACCAATTCCTCATAAGTGATCTCCATGATATTTTCCACCCCTGTGCGTGAAAGCTCCAAAAGCAAACTTTTCAGATTTTGTTTCTGACGTAAGATGAAGTCTCTAACCATAGGGATTTTTAGTGTTAACGAATATTGATTAACCAAAAATGTTGACCACCACATGTGATTTTTACTCGCAGCTTCCCAGCTAATGAATTGTTCGAGCATGTTTTTTCGATACAAGATAATTACTTTAGGATTTTTCAAGGATTGAATAATATCTGTGACAGTCACGGAAAGAGTCTCGAGTGACCATATATGGAGTTTAAATCCTGTCGTAAGATGTGCACAGCCATTACCATTGTGAATATCTCGTTTCAATGAATTAAGGATATGTTGTAGAATGTCCTCTTTTGGTGACTTTTTTGTCATATTGAATTTAGCGAGAATACTGTCATGACACAATTCGCTATATGATGTAATATAGGGATGTTGATTGATGTATGAATCCAGTAGGTTTGATCCAGATCTTGGTTGTGTGATAATTATAAAATGTTGAACTTCGCATAACTCAATGTTGTCCTTTCCAACATTTTGTTTGATTGGTTTATTCTTTGGAGTGATCTCATTGTCATTTATTTCATTTGAAGTTTTTTCAACTTTTGAAATTTCTGTTTTAGGTCCAATCTCATATTCATTATCATATTCCTCGTTCATATCATTGATACCATTGTTGGAGTCTTTGTCCATGTTGTCATGATCGTATTGGGTGTCTATGTCCTGTGCTTGTGTGTTATCAAATTTTGATTCTTGTATGTGTTCTTCATAACTATATTTCTGCATCTTAGTATTTTTGTATTCATTGTAAGGTCTCTGAGGTTGGATGTCATCTCTAGAGATCTTTATTTCATTATCATGTATTGCATAGTCCTCATATTCATCCTTCCCTTTGTGTTCAACATCTTCCGCAATGTGATCCTGTTGTTCAACATAGTCCTCATTCTCCTTCTGTTCAATGTCTCTTTCCCCCTTCTTCTGTACAGCAATTAAGTTTTCATGTGCATCCATCCTTTTTTGTTTCATATTTTCAGTCCCCTTGGCTTTCTTCCTAATATGACCAGCTCCCTTCCTTTGCTGTCCAACATCTAAAACAGACACCATGTTGAAGGATATGTCTGTAGATACTAGAAACGCGATGATCAAAACCAGTATTATCATCAACAGGATGTAGTATTTCAGATTTCCTGTAACGGCCATGTTTTTAACTGACTTTTCATTCAAATTGATATGTAGAGTGTGGAAATTAAAGCTGTGTGTTAAAAATCCTTGAGTACATTTCATTGGGGGTTAACTGGGGGTCACTCATTTGATTTTGTGGACATAACCGTTTCAGAAAACATCTTAATAAGGGATTTTGAAGGAATGGATATTTTGGTTTGGTTAGGTATGTCATAAATATATATCATTGGATAATTTTTTTATTCTTAAAAAGGTGTGAAAATTAACATTGCTATGAGTGAGAAAAGAAAAATTTAGAAAGATTGTAAAAGGTCCATCCCTTGCATGGGGGCAGAATCCTAAAAGATACAGTAATGACATTTGTAAATCTGCTCTAATCCTCAGTGATCCCTCTATATACAAGCATCTCTGTTTTTGCAATCTCAGTCTCAATACCTCCATTACACGGTACTTTACTTCGTTATAATTGGTTTTAAAATCTAAATGTAAATAAAGCAAAGATGTCATCTGACTAAATTGATATTTGTGTTGTTTTTTAGATGAAAGATGAATTTGTCGTACCTAACACATCTTATTCAAATGTGATTTTAAAATGACTGGAACATGTAAAATGATGTTTTTATTTTTTATTCACCTAGCTATTAAACATTTATAATACAGTACATGTACTTAATGTATTTGTGTTTGATGATATTGATTCCTGATTTTACATAAATTTGTGGACATATTATTAAATTATTCATGTATGTAACTCTAAACGTGTTCTTATTTTGAGTGTGACTGAGAAACACTAAGATAGGTAGTGGAACATTTACAAATCAACATTACTTTATGATTGAGTAATTAATGGAATTAAGACTGGGGTATATCAAATAAAATTCTTGATCTGAGAAATGTAGCCCTACAAACCAACAAGGAATCAAATATCACGAATCCGTGATTAATAATCTCTGAAAGGTCGTTCATTTCAATCAGAGTGGCTTTTTGTACATTTCTTAGGTCATGGCAGGAAGTTGATGGCATCCACCCCTTTCCCATATATTAGAAATTGCTTTATCTTCGTTACACTTTTGTGATTTCTTAGATCTTGAAAGAAAATTAATAACACCTACCCCTCCCCATATAAAATAATTTATTTTTATCATTGTTTGATTTCAGAAAAAGCCCAGTATGAAATCCTCATCATCCTTAACAAGCAGTAACAGATCTAAGTCAGGCTCACCAGCTCGCAGTAACCTTGGCAACAAACCTAGCAACAAAACCAGTACCCATAGCAACCAATCAAGTGCAATATCTAACACAAGAACAATGACCTCAAAATCTCAAACTAGCTCAGGTGGCCAGCTAGGGTCAAAAACTGGTAGACAGGGGTCTAGTAAGGTGGATAGTGGAGAGGGTTGGGGAAATGAAGGTGGTTGGGAGGAAGATTCGTGGTCCAATGATAATGACGGATGGGGCTCACTTGAAGACACAGGTAGGCGGCTTAAGAAAACTCTTTCTAAGAATGTAAAGAGGACATATAGAAACTGAATGTTATCTAATTGTGATTTTGTCAGGTGGTAGACAGGGCTAATACATAGGTGAGGCAAATTTTTTAAATATGTGAGGCAAAATTAAGTAGGGGAGGTGAAGTCAAGATAAAGCGGGTACAATGTTCCAGTTCACCGTTCCAGTTAAGAAATGTAAGCTTATCCGACCAATATTTCACATTTTTGCAATTTTGACTCGGAATGCCTTGGAATGGTTTAAAAATAAAGATTTTACCCTATGCTTTCTTCGTCAAGATCATTCCAAAGGATTCTGTTCTATCAACAGTTGTTAAAAGCCTCAAATTACGATAGGATATACAAAAACTAGATCGTTTTTAGAAATAATTTTTCAAATTCTCAAAACCAGAAGTCAGCGATTAACTTTCATGGTATTTAGTTTCTAGGGGGGGGGGGTTAAAGCTAAAACTAGATTTATTTATTTCCCAATCCAACATTGAACTTTTGATGCCTCCCCTTACACAAGTGTAGTTTGAATACATTGTTGTGTAATTTTGTGAGACATTTGCCTCTCATGCCTCGCCTGCCTCATGTCTGGCTACAACCATGTCATGGCTCTTCATTTGACTACATAGCTCCAAGATCAGGATATTAGGATGGGGAAGCAAGTTCTGGAGCCCTGTATACAGAGGATGCCTTGGCTATGTGTGTCTTGTGTCATGTATAGGTGTCTGCACTCACGTGTCATGTAAATATTAATGTGTCTTGGGCTGGAATCTCAGTAAATTATATATTCTCTCACTTATTCAAGAAAATATAGAGACTGAATATTCTTAACAGTCAGTATACTAAAGGATATTTCTGGGTTTATAGTTTCTCTGTCTAACTATTCAGTATTCATGGACCTTTTCTGAAAATATGAATGGCAATGCATGAAATTCAATTTGTCTGCAACGATTATGCTGTAATTACAAAATAAGAAATTGTGATTATGATTGAGTTTCCAGAATGAAAGTCTTAGTCTCACTTAGTCTGTTCTGGTATTGGTATTTGTAGTATGGTTGTGGTTCTCAATTTCTTAACTCTTTCAGGTCCAAGTAAAGCTGAGTTAGCCAAACAAAAACGTGATGAGAGAAAGTTACAGAGACAGAAAGAACTTGCAGATAAAAAAGCCTCGAGACAGTCAGGGACTGGAGCCCTTAGATTAGGTGCAAAGAAAGTAGCATCAGATTAAAGCATTAGAGCCCTCAAAGTGGGTGCTACGTAATACAGATAAAGGCTCTCGATCTGGATCCTTAAAAATGAATACTAAGCAACATCAGATCTGGCCCCTAGTCTAAGCCACAACCCCGTTTAATACAAAACAGAGTTGAAAGTGAGGAATTAAAAATGAATGAAACAAAGTTTAAACATGTAAATTGTATTGATTACAAGAGAATATGGGATAAACATTTATGTGTAGAGAATGTGAAGAGAAACTATACTATGTGAAACATGCATCAAGAGTAAATTTTAGGCTTATTCGAATCACAACTAAAGACCATACATGTTATTCATTACCTGGTTGACTGTGCAAGCAATGACTCACTGCTCAACCTATGAGTGGTTGTTCATCCAATGTCTCTACAACCAATGACTCACTTTACAACCAATGACTGACTGAACGACTAATTGAATAACCATGACTGACTATTCTATCAATGACTGACTGTACAACCAATGACTGACTGAATAACCAATGACTGACTGTACAACCAATGACTGACTGAATAACCAATGACTGACTGTTCAACCAATGACAGACTGTACAACCAATGACTGACTGAATAACCAATGACTGACTGTACAACCAATGACTGACTGAATAACCAATGACTGACTGTTCAACCAATGACAGACTGTACAACCAATTACTGACTGAACCATTTATGGGCGACTGATTGAATTAACCATGACTGACTTTTCAACCAATGATTGACTTTACAACCAATGACTGTCTGTACAACCAATGACTGACTTTTCAACCAATGATTGACTTTACAACGAATGACTGTCTGTACAACCAATGACTGACTGAATAACTGATGACTGACTGTACAACCAATGACTGACTTTACAACCAATGACTGACTGTACAACCAATGACTGTACAACCAATAACTGACTGATTAAATTAACCATGACTGCATAATCCATATAATAGCCATGTGTGAATTGCAATACAACTAACTACGTGATATTATGATTAATTTCCTAAATGTGTTAAACATTGCAGTATTAATCGAGAATATTCATGTCATTTATTGGTGAATAAATTGATGTCATCAATGAAATTCATGTGTATGTCCAGAATAATGTGTCTGTGTAATTCATGGGTGTATTACATTGTTTTTCTCCCCATTTTTGGTATGTTCAGGCTACAGTCCCTGTATGTGGGTAGGGCCTGGGTGAATCTAGGAAATTGTAATGGTGTTGGACATATCATGAAATATATCTCATATAAAAATCCCCTAACCCCGAGTTGCCAAATAATGCTTAGGAGTATACATGGTAGCGGATCAGGGGGGGGGGGTGGCCTGGGGGGTGGTGAAATTGGACCCCAAAAATATCTTTAGGCCCCAATAAGTGTGCCCTTTTGCATTACTCAGGGCCTTATTTTTCAATTATAGGCCAAGTTAAATTTTCAAAATTTGGGCCCACTTTTTGGTTTTAGGGGCCCAAAATATTTTTATCAAACTTTAAATTTGGGCCTCCCCCTTGTTGGTTTCCAGATCCACCCCTGAGCTTATATGTAACATTCAAACATGAAGTTTAATAATACATTTGATTTTGATTTGGTTCTTCAAAAGTCGATATCCCGACTCATTGGTGCAGTTGTTTATTTTTGAATATTACTGAAAAAATAAGCTGATCTGGATTTTGGCTGGTGCTCTTGTCACCCTCTAACTGACATTATCAAACTATATTAGATTATATTTTATTTATGGCTGATTTGAATTTTGAATCCAGCAACTGTGATGGATAACAAAAATGTAATGAAATTGTTAATGCATTTGAATAAGAACAAATAAATAAATTTATATTATGTATAAATAATCTACATGTGTGGTTGTTCTTATAACCAGGAAAATTAACATGGGAAATAAAGAAATGGAGAAATGTGAAAAAGTAATGACTGTGAGGGGATTCAGGGGAATGAGAAAGGGAGGAGACATGGATGGAAAGTAATGTAGAAGTAAGAGAATGAAAGTGCGAAATGTTTCCATTAAAAAAACTCGTTTTGGAACATATAGGAACATTGGCATGCTCAATAAACTGATAAAATCCGTAAAATAATAAAGAAACACTTATTGGATTATTTTTCTCAAAGCCTACTGAACAAACTGAAGCTTGATAATGATCATTCTGATACTCATAGCATCTTTCTGTTTCACCCGAAACTCAGGGCTGAGAAAAAATGGTTTATCATGATGGATAATGATATGTCACCACTTTTTGGTGGTGACATAAAACTTGGATGTACAATTATTTACAATATATTTTATTTGGTCAATAAACCATATTTGGTAATTACAATATTTACAATATATTTTATTTATTGGAAAGCAGCTCAATAATAAGCAATATGTCTACAACCTCCTCAAAAAGTCTGGCAACTCAAACTCCACATTAGACAGGTTAGTCTATTTTTCTTTTTCATCTACATTAGTACTAGGCAAGAGAGAAACCTTGATGAATGGAACTTTTCAATAAACCCTTACTGCCACCTTTTGGTATATCAAATAAGCCATGATGATGTCAAGATTGTACTTCCTCAAATTAGCAATTAAAATGAATCCTATTTTTCCATGGACAGATTGTTACCAACAACCAAAGGATTGTACCAAAAGGTGGCAGCACTAACACATAGTCCAATAGGGAAGTTGAGATTGCAAAATCTTAGAAGAGTGTATCTCAAAAGTGGGTGATACTTGGGTCAGTCAAAAAGTTTTGTTTATTTATATTTCTAATTTTGTCACCTTGGGGAATTATTTCTTGATATTTGGTAAATTGAGGTAAAATTTGGTAAACAGTGACAACATTTTTAACTAATCATAATTATTATATATCGATAGGTGGTATGATTTTCTAGAAGTCTTACATCTTTACATTTCTTGGTGTATGAGAGATGTGCAACATCAATGGATGATTTCTGTTATTGGTTCACTTGGACACGCTTATAAGGGATATACGTATTTATAGGGGGTGCAAAATTTTCAGCATATTTAGCAGTATGCACTATTTTCAGCAGTTCAAAGAATCTGATGAATAAAGAAAAGTTTAATAATATCAAAAATTGAAGAAACTTATGTATTAATAGTCCTTAAAGGCCAGGTTTCCCTGCCATATGGTTGAGTTCAGCCCACCTCATTAATAGCCATTAATGACTAGCCAATCATGTGAAAGATCATGCTACCATATATGGCAAGATAGATTAATGCCAAAATGTTTACAAACACAAGCACATGTATCTAGAGGATTATACCATTCACTGTCTTATTGGGGGAAACATCAAAATAAGTGGTTGAAATATTTTTGGGGGATTTAATATAGTGTACAGAGTTAAATTTTGAAATGCAGATATGGTCCCTTCTATGCAGATTAGAAATCTTTGAAATTGACATCCCTGGCATTTCTCAAGGGACATATTATTCTTGGATCTGATGAGATCCACAGAGTGATTCCAAATTTGAATCTAGGATTTCACTTGATCTTGTCAATTACTATTCATCATGTGAACATTAAACTTTGAAAATGAGATTTTGATTGTAACTCTCTTCAATGTTGCAGCATGATTTCCTTTGGTCTGTTAGAGACAGGCAAAATATAATTTAGGGAAGAACCCTTTAGCTATCATCCCTCACTAACTGAATTATATCCTATGTATATATGTAAATCTTACTAGATAGTAATCAAATGCCCCCTCCCCTCATACCCTTGGTGTCAAGAGAAATCAACTACTATTTGAACCAATTTTCTCAGTTTCACTGACACATATACAGCTAACTTGAACAGAACCAAAGTCTAAGCAGAAAAAGAAACGTGGCAAGCGAACTTGAAGTGAAAAAAATCTATTAGGAAAACAATAGTATTGCAGACAATCACAAAATTACACTGGTGTACTTGTCATTTTTATGAAGAAAGTTACAAAATGTTCTGAATATGTTTCATGATAAGCGAATTTCGTTTGGAAATAATTATGCAATATAAGATGACAGATCTTACCACACTATACTGGAATGAAAATGTAGAAAGGGATTTACCAGTGTTCAAACAAAAGATGTTGCTCCTTGCGGGAAATTACAAAAAATGATTTTGAAACTTAAAATATTTAATTACATGGAATTAATTAAGAAATATAGACCAAAGAGCAGGGTTTCTAGTTTCGAATAATACCCAGCTGGTCTCGGCACAAACGTTTTCTGTACCCCAAACGACCGAAGGGAGCGAGGGGTTCGAAAGCTTTTGTGCCGAGACCAGCTGGGTGTTATTCGAAACTAGTAACCCTGCTCTGAGGTCTATATTACGATTCGAACATGAAAACTCACCAAATTGTTTCGAATATTCATCATGGTCCGCCATTACTACGACCCACCGTTATGACGTCACACATTACACGTATTAACTGGGTGATTGTTCTCGAATATAACCCAGCTGAAGCATTGACTTTGTTTACAGTTTATAGAAGGCGTGAATACAGTCATGTTCGAATCTAGGATAAAGTACTAAATGTGATTGTTTCATAATAATCTTGTAAACATTTCACCCAAATTCGCCTATGACATTGAATTTATTGCTAAAATTTGAACAAGTGGAAGTATACACCTGTATCAACCTGTATATGGCTGGGGATATATAATGTGAAAAATACAAATCAAGTGGTAAGTTTTTACTTTAAATTTTTTAAACCTCTATGTTTTGCAAATGGCTGATTTCTTAGAATGATACAATGTGCTTGTGTTTGCAAATATCACATGACAAATGTATAGCATTCTCATTGGTCAGATATTTAAATCCCTGTCTTATAACTCCTCCCCTAAAACCAGTACATTTTAAAACAAAAATACTTAATTACACAAAATATAGTGTTATTTTGAATTAAATAAAGCAAGATATTAAATTGACATATGTTCATGCAAAACTGTGACAAAAAGTAGCAAGAACTGTTCAGTAGTTTTCAAGTTATGAAGGAAAAACAAAGTAAATCCTCTGCAGCTCTGATTTTCAAAATTATCAAATCATCATATGATGTAATTCCTAACTGCCACTGGCCTTTTATACCCGACCCTGGCCTTTAATGTCATGTTTTTACGTAAATAGAATATTCAATAAAACGTTACAAAAATGTGAGCTTAATGAATACTCGATAGACCAATGAAAACTGGCAGACAGTGCTCCGTTGACCTTTGACTAATTTTGGCTGTACAATCAAAATTTGTCAGTTTCGATGTGTCGCATCATGTAAAATATCTATGTTCAAGATGGATTATGACATTAGATAAATGCTCTGAAATTCAGTCAAGATTGCTTTTGTAATGAAATGAAAGTCACTCACTACGGTGTTCCCCAGTTGGAGCAAAATTCTTTTTTTCACAATTCAGATCAAAATTGGTCTAAATATGCCCATTCTTCATGATTTTTCTCATTTTCAAGTGGGTGCAAATAGATTTTCAGGAAGGTGAAAGCCTGTTTGTAAAATCTCATATGGGTGCTGCGCCCACTTGATTTAATACTAGGGAGATCACTGCTACACGTAATTGTCGCACCGATAACTGGAAGAACAAAAATGGCCACCCATACCACACATATGCAGTTATTTAATTCAGAACGAGTCATGGGATATCAGATTGGACCTCTCAGGGAGAGATATAAAAGTGCTCTTTCAATATCATACTATACTAATAATACACCTCTCTCAAATAAAACAATAATATACAGAATATGTACAACTTTATAACACACTTTTCGGTAAAATATTTTCAATCCTTGTTAAGTCAGGAGTGCATAAACTATATATAAATTCAAAATAAAACAATGATAAAAACATGTCCATGTTGTACCTTAAATACAATACACAGGGAACTAAGATTTATAATATATAAGTTGTTTTAAAACCAATGTGAAACAAACAAAGGAGGGGGTCTGTAACATGTATCATGATAAGGTTCAATATAAACTATACAAGCAAATAAAAAATGTAAGCTATAAGCCTATAACACATATGATATTATAACCATCAATTATTTATAAGGTATAATTGACTAATATCTTCCGAATTTAATTCAAGTTTTGGTTTATAAATGTAATGTAAAATAAAGCCCACGTGAAAAACAAAAAGGATTCTAAATATATGACAAACAAACCTCAGACACATGACAGACTCCACTCCCCCTTTACACATACACACTAAAGGTACATCGGTAAAGATAAAACCATATCATCAAAAATGCATAAAATACACAACTTGTTAAATTGCCAATGAATCACACAATTCATCCACATTATTGGATAGACCCTCCAACATTGTGCAGCATTAAAGGTCATGTATACGAAATACAAATTATACAATACAAATATTGTAAACTTTACATAGGGACTTTAAAAAGTAAAAGCCAGAAAAAAAGATGATTATAACTCCAACTACTGTATCATAAAAATAGGTCAGTATTTAGTGATCAATTTTGGGATGTAAGTAGCCAAAGTACACATACAGAAGGTCATCAGTGTGCATATGTTTGCAGTTTTGTTGTATTGTAGGATAATAATTGGCCACTGAGCAATTTTTTGATTGTTGTAAAACTCATAAATATAAATAATGTATCATAGACTATCATAACTGTACCTTGTGTTTGACAAAAACTTTACATTTGCAATGATTTCATAAGAAAATTCCATCTAGGATTTTCATCTTAAATTTTGTTTGAAAAGCGCAAAAATAATCTCAGTAGCAATAAACATATAAAATGCCTTCGACAGATTCTTCTCATAAAATTGTCATGTCACGAAAAAGAAGATATAATCGAAAATTCATGTTTTGTAACATATACAGGTACTCATGTCATGACAGATTTTAAACGTAAATCTGATCAATTCTGTAATACTTGTCATTAGACTTTTATAATATACAACGTAAAGTTACTTTTGTGCGGTTAAAGCTTCTAATCTAAGACTCTTCATTATTATGACTTGCTCCATGGAGTTGCTCCATAATACAGGGTGCTCAATAGGCTTTTAGACAGACTCCTACCCTATTGAGTGTCACTCAAAAAAAATTCAAAAAACTGATTTAATCTTAATCTAAACATTTGCACATGAATGAAAATGGTGATATTTCCACAAAAGCACACATAAATCATAATTCTAATTGTACCAAACTTATTTAGAAATATACATAAATATGATGAAAAATGATGACACCAGTCTACAGAAACCCTAGTCTAGTGAACACCCTGTAATGTGTGCACCCATTTTAAGTTATCTTCACAAGTAGAAGGGAGAATCCTGCCCCACAACCCAGACCGCACGCCAGGAAGAATGACATCATAGCACCAGCAGTTTCTACATCCTCGTCATTAACCTTCCTATAAAATTGAATCAAAATATGGTTTCTAAATCCCCAATATAAAGCACTCATAACAAAATGTTTTTATAAACATTGATAAGTAAATTCAATATTTCCCGCTGTAACAGGATACTACTTAATGCACAAAATATTTATATCATCATTATTTCATTAGAAATATACATTTAAGCTAAAAGGGAATTCTTCAGAATGATGACAACATCATGTAAAAAAGTTGTTTGAAAATCAAGAAATCTACAATATTCTATTTTTTTGTTAAAGGCAGAATCAGGAGGCCGTTTCTCGAAACGTATCATTATTTACGAAATGTTAAAAGCGACTCATGGATTCTATGGACTCTGCATCATTAATAACGAGACTCACATTCGTACTCGTAAAATCAATCATAGAGAATGAATAAATCGTTAAAAATCATGACGTTATCGCGAATCGTTAACTTTCCAGAAACGAAAAAATCGTTATTAACAATTGAATTAACGATTCGTTAATAACGAAACTTTCGAGAAACCGCCTCTAGATCTATTTGGTGTGACAAAATTGCAAAATTGCAAGCAATATGTACAACTGACCTAAAAATATAATCATAATGATCTCAAGCATAATATTTCCCAAAAGATTTGTAAAACAAAGGGATTTAGGCTTCAAATTATTTTCATCTTTGATCAAGCATTGACTGTAAAATATTCACATATGGTTTCTAGATACTCACGTAGGACCATACATCATGGTAACTGTTCCTAGGTAACCATTGGAGATTGCAAATATGGCCATAAACAGAATCGGGTAGAAGTCATGGTCAAATACGACTGGAAGGTGAGATCGAGGCTGCACGTTGCAATGCAGAAACAATGGGATGAATCCAGCCCTCAGTACGCATAATAGAGGTAGTAGTGGGCTGTTGTGACTAGGCTGAAATTATGAAATTTATTATATCACAAAAAGTCTGAAACATCAAAAATGATTGAGATTTACAAAGGACGATTCTCGGTTTGGAGAATGAAGATCATCAATCTAAATGACCATTATCCCTGCTTCGGACAAAATTGACTTTTTTACATAATATAGATTTGAATGTCTTCTTTTGAATAGTCATAATTTAATTTGGGTAATATTTCTAGATTTTTCGCAAAAAAATATTAGCGCAGTACACTGATGAACTTCTTTCCCCAAATCGAGACTCGTATTTTATTGAATCGGTCTAATTGAGCATTATCCCTGCTTCAGACCAATTTGTTATTTTTACATCTTGTAGATTTAAATGTCCTCTTTTGAATATTCATAGTTTAATTTGGGCAATATTTCTATATTTTTCATGAAAAAAATTATTAGCCCAGGAGACTGTTCTCCAAACCGAGAATCGTCCTTTTCAATTTATTTCCTGAAGAAGATTTAGAAGTAAATCGAAAATTTATATACCTCAATCATTTTCAGGTTTTTAACACTTTTAACATTATACCTCACAATGTCTGAAATAAACCATATTTCTGAAAATGTTATGAAATATAGTTCAGGTCATTTCCTGTACCATTGAGACTGTAAAGATATGGTTAAAATCTGATGGTAAACAAAATTGATTACAATCATAATACTTGCAATTCCTTACAGTAAAATCTGAAAGTAAAAGTGGTAGTTGTTCTCAACTCAAAATAGTGTTTAAAAGGTGTAGAAAAAATCGCATCAAACTTACCCATTGTCCAAAACCAGCGAGTGTTCGTCCTATAAGGTCACCAACGTTGAACAACAGGAAACAAGTCACAGGAACAAAGTATTTACCTACAATGTATTCAGACATATTACATTAACTATAATGTATTTGACATATTACTACAATGTGTTTGGGAAATAATTGTCATTAAAAAAAGTATTTATCTACAATGTATTCAGACTTGTTACATTTCCTATGCGAATAAAATGTGTTCAGGTTCATGATGTGTCATAGATAAATCCAATATAATTTAATCTTTCTGGCTATTTTGACTAATGTAATCACGTAATGATACAAGATGTCAATAAAAGTTATATATATTTTAATCTATTCACAACCATTATCAAAATTAAAATCCATCAACTGGTATTTGAGGTATCACAGACTACATCTTTCAAAATGATGGCAGCCATTTTGATTTGAGCAGCCATATTGAAAATTTCTTCTTGAGAAGGGGTTCTATGTTTGTTGAGATAATTAACATAGATAAACACTACTACTATTGACCTCTAATCATCATATATTCTCAATGGATTCAACATAAATTTGTTTTCTTCTGTGGATGGTATAAGGGGAAAATCAATGTGTAGTGAATAAATATTTAAACATTTGTATCTTCAATGGCAGTTTCATGAAAAAGGGTTGGCTGATGAGCACTCTGGTGGATAATGAAATGGTTTGTGTGTTAAACATTCAATTTGGCCTTAACAGAAAATATTGAACTTTAATTAGTATAAAGGACCTACCTGTAAAAGGGGAAGATCCTTGTTGCATTGAAGCAATGTTTGAGTTAACCCCAGGAAAGCATGACAAAGTCACAAAAAATACTAAAAATACACTCAGGGCTAACATCCATATCTGAAACAGATAGTTAAATTTGTAATTGTTAAAGCTCCCAGAATTTGGCTTAACTAGCCTAAATTACATCCATATCTGTAACAGAGAGTTGTATTTGTAATAATAGTACCATGATGTAAAATGGTTTGGTACATGATCCTCTAATTTTTACATATGATTTAACAGGTTTCATTCTGGTAAGATTTTAGTGATTTTCAAATGTAGCGTTCATGGTCTTTTGAGTGAGTTTAAATGTGAAATTAATTAAGCTACGTTCTTGTAGAAAATGAATTGCTTAAGAAACCTAAATTATAGTATGTTCTCTTACTTTTTTAAAAACTAAAATTAAAGTTGACACTGTGCTGCCTTTTGGCTGCTTTACAGTGACACTTGTAGAGTCAGCATTTAGGCTATGTACTGCATTTAGTAGTTCTTCTGGAAAAATAATACAAAACCTCTTTAGCACACATACCGTATTCTCTCTAATTAACACACAAAGCGGCTCCCAAATTCTCCTGGAGGAGATGTCTCAAAGTACAAAATCCCAGGGTATTTTTGAAAGATAAATATATGGGCGATAATAAGGTATTTCATGATTTGCCTCTTGAAATCTGGACTCACCCCCACTAGATAACATAATGCCATAACCTGTTGTTTACCTCATGCATTTATCGATTGGCTGAATGTTTTTTGTGGAAAATCGGCATATATGCCCCAATATTAACAAAAAAATATTGACTCTGTTCCTTCCCCAGGCTGCCATTTTGGATATATGACGGATATTTTGAGTCAAAATCTAAAGACTTTCTGTCAGTGACTGGTCTTCATAGTCGGTGAAATAATGTTTTATACTCATATAATACCACTACACATTTATAAAGAAACAAATGTTAGTTTGTGTGGGAAAAGCTGGAGAAACATTTCTGGATCGGAAACGCTCATGATGCACTGTGAGTACGGGGACTTAGAGGGTTGATTATTAAAGTTCATTATATCTTTTAGCTCATCACGATCATGAATGTACTTCTTTTTTTAAAGCTTCCGGAGAATTTGAACCCATAAATGTGCACAAAATTTTCAAAAATGTCCAAATTTTTAAATGACTTCTTTCTGACACTAAATTAAATGTGTTTTACTTACTATGGGTTTCTGTATGATAATGAGCATAGGCCTGAAAAAATAAAGAATAATCATTATAGGAATATAACTGATGATCTAAAAAACAATAAGACAGTTACTGATATTCATACAAATATACAACAAAAGTTACTGATTAACTAATTGTGATTTTAGGTAAAAAATGCCAAGACATTAAATAATACCAAGTACATGCTTCAGACAAACACCTTTCTCTGTGCCAATTTGATTTCCTGTAGCAATTCATTGAACATTATTCATAACTCCTTGTGCCAATTTTGTAAAAGCCTTCAGGTGACATGTGACTAAAGCAACAGTCTTATTGTTATAATTGGCATGATGTATAGAGTTTTGATCAGAAATCAGACATACAGGGTGATCACTATAGTAACAATAATTATCCATTGTGACATCATTTAACAATAAGACTGTTTTATCCAAACCAAAATTACATTCTCCATTTACCTTGAAAATTTCAAGTAGATTGGTTGAAAAATAATGAAATGACAGATAAATTCCCAGAACTTAGTGATCACCCTGTATTATCTTAACATATCATTGGTAATTTGGTAACCAATTCTTAATGTTGATTGAAGTTAAAGAGGCACTAAAGGATATAGTTAATTGATAGCAACTGTTTTAATTGTACTCATATTTCTTGTTCGGGGAATACCTTGCCATAACCATTTTTATAAAATAAAATACTTGCAAAGTATCCATATTGTACAAATGAATAAGAACCCACAAACGATCTACAAAAAAAAGTATTGCTTATAAAAGGACATACCAGAAAGGGCAAAGTGAGATAAGCGATAAGGGCTATAAAGATGATCACTGCTGCTGCTATGAAGTAGCCGAATGCGCTCTTCACGACATCATTCCCTCCAGCTATAGACACTATCTCTGCCAGAGCTGCAAATGTACCACCAGCTCCCTGAAACCAGAAAATAATTGGTTGCGAGCATTTTAAGAAACAAAAAATTATTTCAGCATTAGGTTCCCAGTGAATTATTAATTTTTTGTATAGTGAAGTTGGAAAAATGTGGTAATCTGAAATCTAATTCAGAGCATTACGTGTCTGAATAGTTCACTGAGTAATGACACTTGCTCTCCCATTTCTACAGTTTTTAACCAATCTTTCTAGATTTTGCACATATTATCTGGCATGTAATAATGACTGCATATACCAAATTTCATGTCTCAAGACCAAAAATAGTTAAATTTTATCATATACATTTTGATTTGGTAACATGGTCCTTGACACAGCACATATGACATTCACATGAAATATACTCACCATTCCTCCCATTACCGCTTGGGTATATTTTTGAGGGAACATTCCCGAAAGTCCAAATATTCCACCCTGTAGTATGGCACTTGCTGCATTCACTATAACCACTGTACCCAATGTTATGCCGAAGAACTCCATCTGCCCTGTAATAACAATTGTTTTTTAATACAACTCTGCATCTGCTATGAAGGCATTACGAATCAGTGGTCCAGGTCAACATGATTATTTGAGGCCTCTCTTCTGTGCCAATAACGCAACTGTACCACAATTTACTGCGCCACCTGTATGACAAAACAATGCACCAGCCAATGCTAAGTTTCATTTTAGTCAAAACAATGCATTAACATACAAAATGTCATCCCATGCCATTTGTTACAGATGCCAACTGCTGAACACCAACTGTGGAAATAAAGATCACAAAAAAGTTGGAAAATTTTACAAAATGTCATCACTTCTGGTAGTGACATAATTGAAATTATGGGTGTGTTTTGATTATTTTTATTTTGTAATAATACTTTACTATCAAGCCCAGACCATCCCCCCTATATTTGTTTTGTCAAAATTCATTGTATATAACATTCTGAAAGCCCCTATAATGTGAAATTAGTATATACATTTTACTTACACGAGTCTGTGTTGACTTCGACAAGAACAACAGTGAATGTAAACATAAGGATCATTAAGATACCAGCCAGCAACATTCGCACTTTGAGTGGGATCCTGAAAATAAACGTTTCTATTGAAATATTTCTTAAATGGTATGATCTCTGTAAAATTTGAAGCCTTCAAATAGCAATATGGAAAAGAGTTATTCAAGGATTGTGTGAATTTAGGTATCATAAGTTTCAAAACTACTAAGTTTGGGTGTTGTGTAATGTAATTTAATAACTATTCTAGAATTTTTCATTTGGTGTTTGGATATTAAAACTGTACATTGAGTAAATTATACAAAAGTATCATGACAAAATGTTACCACAAAACAAATGTGACAATTGTTACTAGAATTGATGCCAAATGCTCCACTTAATTGAGTCACAAAATAATGTCACCACTTCTTGTTAGTTATACAATAAGTAATATATCTATTAAAATTCACCACTTGTGGTGGTGACATAAAATATAAATCAACTAAAAAAAGCATATTTGAAAAATGAAAAAAGAAAACATACAAAAAACTCACATCTTGGTGGCAGCGGTGTTGAGAAACATGAACACAACATTTGGGACCATGGCAGCTATTGCTAGGTAATTCTCAAATGTCGCCTGCAACTCCGTCTGTCCCGATGTTGCTGCTGGAATAGTAAAGTTGTTGAATAAAATAAAAATAAAAAAACAAAAAATGTAGGTTAAGATCTCACTTAATATTGAGTAAGTAATTCAAAATTGTCAATACATGTCGTGAAAATAAAATAGTAGGTTTCGTTTTTTAATTATTTTGGGTAACACATTTGATCTACAGCAACTGTATAGTGGTCGCTTCCCAAAATCAAGAGAAATATAGGGATAAACAGAATGATGTAGATTTTCTGTATAGATATTGCAAAGCATCAGCCACCATACAACTGCCATAGAGCAAATGTGACTGAGGCTCGAGGGAATTTCACTTACCAGTTCCTTGGATTGCAGAGCCATTCTGTGGAATAGTTGTGTTGCGGAGTTTGTATACAAAATACTGGAACACAAAAATGAGAGTTGATTAAAAGCATGATATCTAGGAAACTTCATAGTTTTACCCTCAATTTCAATTTATTTATTGAACACAATGACATAAGAATTGGGTATGAGGCTCAAAAATGGAACAAGTATATATTGAAAGAATAATAAAAAATATATTTTCACTGATGGAAAATGAGAAGTGCTTTGAAGATAGCCACATAGATGGCAGCATTAGTTTTGGACAGCCTCAAACAATGTTGTAACTTTAAATGGAGAAACTGATAAAGGCTGTTGACACATAGAATGTGATTAACCTTAAAAGTATTATCCTTAAAACATTTGTCCTTAAAACGTTTGTAAAATATATACATGTATAGTATTTAGCTTGATATTTTTAGAAAGCTAATCATCAGAATTAAATATAAGGAAATTAAAATGATTGCTCTTCTCAGAAATAACAGACAAACTATACCATCAAATTAAACAAAAGATGTATAAGTCCTATATGATTATAAAGCAAATCTCCTAATATCTCATCAATAATGAGATTTCTATAAGTTTTCAAAAGCTATATGTGATTAACCCTTCCCTAATCAGATGTACTATATTCAAAATTATCCATATTAGATCAATTTCAGATGTAGAATTGAGCAAATTCAATACATCTAAAAATGGGTAGTCAAAACATGGGCTTTCAAGAGATGTCTTGAGTTTTGATAAATTGGCAATAATTCTGTATTTGACCATGGGCTTTTCTTGAAATGAACTCCATCAGAGATCTTTTAAAGAGACATTTTTATAAAAATTAGATAAAAATGACATAAATCATAAAAATAATGACACTTTTTCATCAAATTTTTCTTCTCTACTGCCTCATAATTTTCCTCCTTAAATTGTACTGTTGTCATATGATACACATTTCAAAACTCAGTATAAACACTAGAGAGATAAATCTAAATATAAAACTAGGAGGTTAACTTGAACAATATATTACTATCTGGATATTATCATAACAAGGGCAAATGTACAAAAGTGAAAGCACTCGTGACTTGACTAATTTGATAACATATTCTGGGGAGCTCTACAAGGGTCGCTCAAAAAGTTTCGTACCATTGGCTCTAGATTTTATAATAAGAGGAATAGGATGCTCAAACGTTAACATGAGACAGGGTAATTAATTTGCAGTACCTTAAGGTAAACCTGTTTAATGGGAATTTATATGGGGGTAACTGACCTGACCTAACTGACCTGTTTAGCATTGGTGAAGAAATTCCATGGGAGAAGTGCAGCTATGCCCAATGTGTAAAATATAAAATACACCAGCCAGTATCTGAAAAAAGTTCAATGATATGAATTTTGAGCTAATGATAGTACAATGTATGTATTTTTTGTATTGTAACTCCACAGCATATCTTTAATTGATGAGGTGACCTGGATAGCACAATGTACAGGGTGTCCAAAAAAATAGGACCGTAAGAAAGTTAAATTACTTGGTCAATATTGCATATTTTGCCTTGAAATTTCGAAATTATTTAGTTCATTCAATGTGAATTTCGTTGTGAAAGTTTGATAAGAATCTGCTAGTTGAGTCAAAATCTACAGTTCCTTACAAAACATGCCCCAAATGTGCACCTCTGCTCTCTATGCACAATTCAATCCAGGGAACAAACTGTTGATGATCTTCATCCACACATATCTTTCTGAATGGACAAGTTTATTCCAAGAACAATTGAAACTGGAGCTTACATCCTCCTGATGAAATGTTACAGCATCCATTGCATTCTGAACAATGCATTGCCTGGGTGGCAATGAGGAAACATGGAATTATCAGTCCTTTTTGGTTCGAAAGTGACTGGGGACATGCTTTCACCATGAACAAGGACCAGTGAGTTCTCGCTAAGTTTTGAAGGTGACTAAGCGCCAGAAGGGACATCTAAGGAGATAAACAATGGTTTCAACAAGCCAATACCACCCTAACACTGCAATTGATATGCTGAAATGGTTTAGGCAATGCTTTGGTGGTCAGATCATCAGTGGCAGAACGCAAACAATATGAGCAGCTCATTCGCCAGATCTAAATCCCCCAGATTTTTATCTTTGGGGATTTCTCAAAGCCAATGTAAATACTGACAGGCCCCTAACAATCTGAAAAGGGCAATAGCTACCCCAATATATACCATCCACATTGATGTGTATAGGTTAGGGTCATAAACAACTTGGTTCACATTTATTCTCAGGTTTGTGTATAGAGAGGAGAAGTGCCCACTTTGAACTTGTTTTGTAAAGTACTGTAGTTTTTGACACAATTAACAGATTATCATCAAACTTTCAGAACAGAATTCACATTGAATGAACTAAATAATTCTAAAATTTCAAGGCAAAATATGCAACATTGACCGAATTATTCAACTTTCTTACGGTCCTGTTTTTTTTTGACACCCTGTATGTATTTTTTTGTATTGTAACTCCACAGCATATCTTTAATCAATGAGGTGACCTGGATAGTACCATGGGCTTTCAACTAGAATCTAATTGAAAGCCTCTGATAGTACAATGTATGTATTTTTGTATTGTAACTCCACAGCATATCTTTAATCAATGAGGTGACCTGGATAGTACCATGGGCTTTCAACTAGAATCTAATTGAAAGCCTGTGATAGTACAATGTATGTAATTTTTATATTGTAACCCCACAGTATATCTTTAATTAATGAGGTGGCCTGAAAATATAAATAAAAGAATCATGTTGGGCATATTGTTGAATCATCTACCTCTTAGGTAATTAAGGTTTCTGGGTCGATTGCAATTAATTTCAAATAAATGGTTCCTAGAAAAAGTCAGCATGCCCGTTAAAGCAAACTTCAAAAGATCATCAAATGAAAACTCCAAGGTGAAACATTTGGTCTGTTGAGTAAACAATTGGTCTGTTGACAAAACCATTGATCTAAAATATGTGATTAACAATATTTTTGATGTTGGTTAATGATGAAAATGAATTGAAATATTATATATATAACATCATTAATACATAATAAAAACATATAAATCAAAATTAGAAAAGAGGCATTTTTCATTTTCAGCAGATGTTTTAAAAATATATCATCGTCAGTTTCTCTCAGTAGGTGACACTTCTTGAAAGTACAACTGTGCATCTATCTTCTAATCAAAGTATATTTACATGTTGCTAGTAGCTACATGTACATTAGGTCCAATTAGTTGATATGTCACCTGCATTCCCCAATTAAAAATGTATGTCCTAGGAAAAAACATGTGGTTTAAACCATATTGGGCATAAATAAGTTGTTATAATGAAAATGTGATAATAATCTGTGAAGCCAAAAAATTGGGTGAATTTCACTCCAAATGTACACAACTGCAGGCCCGTAGCCAGGATTTGCCAAGGGGGTTCACTTTTCGAAAAATTCCGGGAGTTCACTTGAAACAATTTTGATCCAAAAATGGCCAAAATCACTTAAAAAGTGCTCAGAATGGTGAAAAACTGCATGATTTTGAAAGTTTTTTGGCCAGGGGGGAGGGAGCCAGGGGGATCGAACTCCCCAGGCTATGGGCCTGATTTATCAGAATTTAGTATTTAAAGTGCAATCAAAATTCATTTGTTTCTCTAAACATATCAGCAAGACCATAATTACTTAGGAACGTCCATGTGAATACAATCAATACATGTATAACTTAACCAATCAGTCAATTATGTGGGTGGAATTACCTAGAAAAAATTAAGCACTGCTCAAGAATCTATTAACGTAATAGAAAGTCAAAAAACTTAGGAAGTTAAAAAACTTGCCAAGAGTGTGCACATGAAATTAAACATGAAAAACTTCATCATATTCCTTAGATTAATCTTTAAAAACCTATATCACGATTTCTGCTTCATTCTGGGACTACCCTTAATATATGCTCCAAAGATCTTTGATGTTTTCTGTCTTGTGTCTACCATCACATTTTAAAACTTATCCGAAATATTATAGGGTAGTTTGGTGACTGGTGACATTTGGTGTCAAAGGGAAATAATATTTCAAGGCATTCTGAAAGACAGAGACCTATTTTGCAGTCAACAATTTGGATCATATCTTCTTACTTGACTTTACATTTGTTGTATTCTAGTCTATCACTCACTGATCTACAGTGTATGGTATCAAAATTCCATTTATTCACCAAATATCCAAATGATCAGCATCTCATAAATCCCAGTGCATAATATAAAGCTTAAAAGGAAACATTTTTGACTTTTGGACAATGGTAAAAAATAGAGCTACGTGGAAAAAATTAGTGAAATAAGAATAGAATCCACCCAAGATGGGCAGTGAATACAGTGAGCGATTTTCATTTTGGTCAATTCTACTATCTGTTTCAGTGACTGTGATGGCCATTTCACCGAGATATGGTCTAGATTCCATGGGTGTAGCACTCGGTACGCCAGGTAAACACAGGCATAACAGATGTTTGCATGAAAAAATATTTTTCTGAATACATGAAAAACATGGTGTAAAAAAGTGAAGAATAAATGTCAATAAAATTCCACTTTCAAAATATATTCGGAGTGGCTCCAGGACCGACAATTGTCGGTACTGGAGACTGTCCAGGGGTATTTGCTGGGGTACCGACAATTGTTGGCACTCTATCGTCAACTAGTAGTGCCAGATAGAGAACCGACAATTGTCGGTACGCAAGTGGCTGCTACGTGTTTTTGCTAGAGAGCCGACAATTTCATAAATAAATGCACTACTTTTACTTTAGCATTAACCTCATCACTGGTAGCCTAGTGGTTAGCGAGCACGACTCGAAAACAATCGGTCCCGAGTTCGAATCCCGGCAAGACCTACTTTTTTTTCTTTTGAGGGGGGGGGCATAGTGCTTCTTTTGCAGTAGGAAATCGTACAGGCATTAACTTGTAGTGAGCCATAATTTATTTTGACAAAAATTGATTCAACTTCCATCAAAATTGTCCTACAAGCTTCAATTAAAAAACATTTTAAAGCTCTTTTCTTGTTCTATCTAATGGGTCGATATATACAGTTAGGGGAGGGGATGCTTTCGCCCCCGTCGCTCTCTACCCTTACTACGCCATGGCACAGGAGAAATATCTCATTTGGAATATATCACTGTTTACTTTGCGTTTGGTAGCTATCTCATGCGAGATGGAATCGTGGCCTTAACTAAAGGAGCCAAATGCAACTTCCATCAAAAATTGTGCTATAAGGTATGAGTACCGTAATCCAACACCAAATTCGAAAATTCATAACAATACTTTGCACATATGGCGTTCGTGACCAACTATGAAACGCTTACCCCCCCATAGTGTTATATATCAAAATGCACCTGTCCATATAGGGGTTCGATTGACCTACATTAAATTATAGGGAGTCAGGTTACTTTTTGAGATATCGTTTATTGTAACTCACGTTTGCTACCACTTCCTCAATTCTGATATGACGGGCAAACGCGTAGTAAACATGCTCACGTTCGGAACTATTTTGACCTACATCGCTATTTTCCTAATTCAAATGAAAGTTGAACTCCTCTTTATTTTGACACCAAATAGTGGCATACTAGGTACCCTAGAAAGAGAAGCCAACTATTGGTTATTTAGAACGATACCACAGGTTTTTAAATGGACTATATAGGGGTTATACCTTTTGGCGGATGAATATGGAACCTCATACCATAAGCTTCAAATAAAAAACATTCTAGCTATTTTCTTCTATCTAATGGGTAGCAAACGCCCCTTTCTACGCTTGATCGGCTCAGGAGAAATATCCTGTCTGTTTAGAATATATATAGCCGTTTACTCTGCATTAATAGCTCTCTAACGTCTTACTTGTTCATGTTTTTTATTGGGCCTTTCAACGTTTACTACCATTCCCTGTTCCCGGGCTACCATTTTTTGACTGGGTTTGGTAATCCCCGGGTAACCGGGGCTAATGCCCTCCCCGGGTTTTGCACTTGTTCCCAAAATATCCGTATGATATCTGAAATATCCCCCCGCGCATTGCGCATGCGCCAGAAAATTCGAAAATCAATATTTGTCGGTCCTCTAGCGTGTAAACACAGCATATCTCCCGTACCGACAATTTATTTGTCGGTCCTCTAGCGTGCCACCACATCAGAGTCTAGAGTACCGACAATTGTCGGTACTCTAGCCTTTACGAAATATATTATTTATGTCTGTGATCATGATAACATTTGCGTCATAACACACCGAAAAAGTTTTCATGGGTAGAGAATTGAGAACACCCAAGATCCCTTGAACGCTCATTTTCGATTCGCTCAACTTGTAATCGTACTAGGCTAGATCTAATAATTATTATTCTAACATATACAAATGCACCCCTTGATCTAGAAACCCTGCAAAGCCTCAAAAATCATTTCGAAATATGATTCAGAATCAGCTGATTTTAGAAAATTTTTACCTGTCTTTTGGAAGTGGACCAAGATGAATCGAAGATCTTTTTCTCGGTGGTAGAAGAAGACTGGTCTCGTCATCCATCTTTAATAAGTTCTATGCGTTACTCGCGCAATGTCCAATATCGGCACATACGAATGTAAAATGTAAAAATAAATTAGAAAATAAAATTTGAGAACTACATTTCAGAAAGTTGAAAGTTGCGGGCGGAAGTTGTACAGATGTCGCTACTAAATCACGCATGCGCAATATGCCACACGTGGGAAAATGGCTACTGTAGTTCCAAGTTTCTCACCTAATGGTGAATATTTTGCGTATGCTAGCCCAGATGGAACATTGAAACTATGGGACACAGAAACCGGAACATTAAAGCAAGAATTTACTCCAAGTTCACATCTGTCAGCGACCTGCTCGTGCCTGAAATGGGGAAGTATTCGGAGTCGGAAAGTGAGTTTCCAGAATTTTTTTTTAAAAAATTAAAAAATTTAGACTCGTCTAAAAAATCCTCACCTTTTCGGAAAGTAAAATATTCTTGCATGTAATTTTCATTCAGTTTCTTATCATCATCAAAAGGGTTGAATAGTTGGAAAATTATGCATCGGTCATGGCTCAGTGTCATGCAGTCAAAACTGATTCAAAATCAAAAATTTATTGAGACCAGTTTCCTTGCAAAGTTTGAGACTAGGGGAGATCCGTCGAACTTCGACGTTTGGGGCTTCTTCCTCATGGGGCTATTACGACCGTGGGGCTATCTTGACATTGTTTATATTTCTGATTTACGTAGCCCGCCATGTTTGTTTTTTGTATAACCCCATATGTCAAAGTCCGACGGATCTCCCCTATGCAGTGATGTCCATCGTCAATTATTTAATTGTTAGCAGCCTTCTTGATATCAAATGGATATACTGTTTCATATACCTGATAATATGTTATTTTGTAGAAGCCAAAGAAAAAGCGGAAATCTTTACCTGGGGCCGTGGAAAAGACTGGAACTGAAGTGTTAGATCTATTGGCTCTTGGTACAAGCTCTGGAACAATTCTGCTGTACAGTGTTGTACATGGAGATCTACATACACAACTTGTAAGTATATCTGAGGTCATTCAGGAATATTTTCCCTCCATAGATGTGTTTATTGTCCTTGTCAAATAGCCTCCATAACACCACATGTATGGGGCAAAGACAAATCTCAGATATATAAATGAATAAACACAAGGAGCACACGCATCTCGAACTCGCAACCTCGTGGTTACGACGCCCAATCGCCTAGCTTGAACTTGCTGGCGCTCAAGCCCTCTCGGCCAACTCAACAACCCCAGAGACACATTAATGCTCCTGAGAATAGTGTGGGATAGAGGCCAGACTTGGATGTCCGGATTTTTAGCCTGTTATGGAAAATAGCCCCATCAATTTGTCCCTAGTTCAGTCCTGGAATTTGTTTGTCAATTCTGGCTGCTGTTTCCATTACTCATGGAATTACAATACAAACACGTGAACATAGTATTTGAACAAGTATGGACATGATATTCGCAATAGTGTTTAAAATGTTTTAACTTGCATAAAGCGTATTATTTACATGCTGGATTGATTTTGTAACTAATGACAACATTTTATTTCAGGAGGGGGGTCATTCAGATACTGTCACTGACATGTGCTGGCATCCAGAAAAAAATATTTTATATAGCTGTTCAAAAGACCAACATATTGTAGAATGGGATTTAATAGAAGGAAAAATAAAAAAGTAAGTCAGTCACAAGCGTATGTGTAGTATTTATAAATTTCAATGGGTCTTTTGTTGACCTAATTGGTTAGAACTGGTCACCAATCCTAGCTTAGGTTATTTCAAGGGCCAACAAAAATGCAGACAGAAAATCATCAGCTTCTAGATATTATAAAATTTATTTCAAGTACATATACTAATACAGTTCAATATACCATACTGTACATGCTTATATATGAGCTTAATTCTGAAATGATCCTAGAAGCATTTTTTGTACGTCAATCAGACTCAATCTTGCACAGAAGCAAGGAAATATATAAACGGTCTTGCAACTAACATGTGCCCTGTGTTTTGAATTTCAGAAAATGGCAAGGTGATAAAAGAGACATACATTCGATATGTCTGTGCCCAGGGCAAAGGTGTCTACTTACAGCGGGTCATAACATCAAATTATGGGATCTAGAAACATATGAATTGTTAAAGGTATGTACGATTTTGTTTTTGGAAATAGAATACATGTAGTTAAAGTTGCTCAAATCTGACTAAAATATTTGTCACTCTTTAAAAATCACAATGACCTGTAATGTGTACAATCAGTAGCCTGATACAAACTTAACAAACCAACAATCATTGACATTGAAAATTGTCAAAATATGACTTATTCAACTGCTAATGCCAGATTGCAACACCTACATTTATTTGTTTTTTTACAAAATTTATTGTTGCGATGATGACCAACTTAGGACACTTCTGATCCTTTGTGATTTTAACAACCAAGCGTTACCAATTTCTGAGCAACATCGTTACATTTCCAATATTTTCATGAAATCTGAAAGTCTACATTGTTATGGTCCCACTATGTACTAATGTGTGGTCTTGTTTGAAAGCAGGAAATTAAGTATCTTTAAAAAAATGAAATACAATTTAAATTTGTAAATATCTTAAATGTAACTCATGTTACTTGTAACCTAGTCAAACTTTACTATTGTACTATTGTATGTATCATGTATTATATATCAGAAAAAATGATTATTAAAAAAATGTATACTCACATTTTTGTTCAGTTCAAACAAACATGTTTTCAACTTTTAACATTTCCCATGTGTAAATAAAAGAAAGGAATTTCAATTTTGCGTCTTTTACATTTCAGACATATACAGGTCATGCTACAGATGTCACTAGCCTTGTATGTGCTTCATCACCAACATCCCAACCTGTCTCAGAAGATGAGGATCCCATAGATAGTGTGGAGAATATGTACTTCCTTTCAGCTTCCACTGATGATAGAATAATAAATGCATGGTAAGTCCATAATAAATGCATGGTAAGTCCATAATAAATGCATGGTAAGTCCATAATAAATGCATGGTAAGTAGTAAATCAATATACATGGTGTCCATAATAAATGCATGGTAAGTAGTAAATCAATATACAGGTTGTCCATAATAAATGCATGGTAAGTAGTAAATCAATATACAGGGTGTCCATAATAAATGCATGGTAAGTCCATAATAAATGCATGGTAAGTAGTAAATCAATATACATGGTGTCCATAATAAATGCATGGTAAGTAGTAAATCAATATACAGGGTGTCCATAATAAATGCATGGTAAGTAGTAATTCAATATACAGAGTGTCCATAATAAATGCATGGTAAGAAGTAATTCAATATACAGAGTGTCCATAATAAATGCATGGTAAGTAGTAATTCAATATACAGGGTGTCCATAATAAATGCAATGTAAGAAGTAATTCAATATACAGAGTGTCCATAATAAATGCATGGTAAGTAGTAATTCAATATACAGGGTGTCCATAATAAATGTGTGGTAGGTAGTAATTCAATATACAGGGTGTCCATAATAAATGCGTGGTAAGTAGTAATTCAATATACAGGGTGTCCATAATAGATGCATGGTAAGTGATTCAGTATAGAGGGTGTCCTCAATAAATGCATGGTTAGTAGTAATTCAATATACAGGGTGTCCATAATAAATGCATGGTAAGTGGTAATTCAATATACAGGGTGTCCATAATAAATGCATGGTAAGTGATTCAATATACAGGGTGTCCATAATAAATGCATGGTAAGTGATTCAATATACAGGGTGTCCATAAGTGAAACATCTTTTTGGTACCCATGGCTATCAAACTTTTAAAGGGTACAAAGTCAAATTAACTGAAACATTGAGTGAATGACTGTCAAATTCCTACATCAACAAATAGTTGTGAATTGATTGGGATTTCTGATTAAATACGCTTCTGTATCTTCTGTAGGCAAAACAATTGAAAACAAGAGGCACAGTTATCTGTAGAAATCCTCCTGCATTCTAAATTGTTGTCATCATGTATTAAAGTGCTCTTAATGCTCCATAGAAACATCTTGCTTGTTTACCATTGTGTAATTATTATGTCACCACCAGAAATGATGACATCTTGTTATAGACTCCAACTTTGTGTGGATGGCATTCAGTGCCTGTACCAAATGTCAAGTGGTTACATTCTGCATGTTAATGCCTTGTTAAGTCTGTTATCATGATTTTATTTTTTTGAAATTATTATCATTCCAGGCAAATCAGAAAAAAGCCTAGAAATCGGCATAAGAATGAAAGTGCAGTGATGACATTTAGGTTACCAACAGAACCTGTTACCATGGATATAGCTGCAGTTACTAGTCGAGACCAACCACTGCTTTTAGGTGCTATAGTGAATAATGGACAATTTGTTATCTATGAACAGGTTCTAAATGGGTAAGTCTTACATTTCAAGTTTTTTTTAACATTTAATTCTATGTCAAATTAAAAAATGGACTGAAAAAAGTTCACAATTGAGATTTTGAACCCACCCATCCCCCGTTTTTTTCTGTGAGAAGGCTGAATATTTGATGTATAATGCCACCAACACAAGCGGTGACATATTGTAATAGTCACCAACTATTTTTGTTGACCGTGTTGTGCAGTTGGCATCTGTACCAAATGGCAGGTAGTATGTATTTACTCAGACAAATACAATTTTTTTCAGAGTGATGAAGAAACCAGTTAAACACAAAACCATGTTCCAGATTGCCACTCAAAAAACCAAGAGCAGCTCATCTAAAGCTATCCCAATCTTATCAGTGCAGTTCACCAATGATAAACAAAATAATATTTTAATCGCCCATGGCAACTTCGTCAAACCAACAATAGAGAAAATAGTAAGTATCATTTTGCGAATGGATTAAAGAGATAATGATTATTGTTCAATGTTATTCTGCAAGTTTGAGGATGTTATTGTCCACAAGACATTTTATGGCTTATGAAGCTTTTGATTGTTCAGGGTACATTCTAAAGCTAGCACATATGTTGATTTCATGTAAAGATGTTCTCAAGATGAAGAAAAAATATTTTTGTCTCATAGAACATTGCCTCTAGTTCCCAAAACATTGTTTTTATTATTGCAAAAACATCGTTTTTGTTCCCAAACACTGTTTGGTGAGTTTCAAAAATATTGTTTTTGTTCTCAAAACATTGTTTTTTTTTGCAAAAACATTGTTTATTTTGTTACAGCCATTTAACACAAAAGATGAAGATGTTTGTACGTGCCTTATCCGAGAGGACCCCTCTCTGTCCCAAGTGTCAAGTGAAGAAAGTGTTAATAAGGTAAGACCACTATTCTTCTTCATAGAGATCCTTGTGCTGATTTGCTAGTGAATAAGCATGAGGCGGTTTCAACAATCCTATTCAGTCAAGTTCGGTTCGGACAAGCAAAATGACATTTTGGGATACAACTCTTATTTTGGTTGTAAACAAACATTTTTAAACATTCTTATTTCAGATAACAATAATGGTTAATATAGAAAAATAGGCCCTTTAGTTGAAAACTAGTTACAGGCTATAAAAATTCTCACTGTTGCTATGATGACCAACTTAGGACACTTCTGATCCTTTGTGATTATAAAAACCAAGCGTTACCAATTTCTGAGCAGCTAAAATGGTACAACTAATGCTGTTTATTGTTTTGTATTCTAAAGATGCAAAAGTTCGGCAATGTATCATTAAAGAGGGAAGGGATCTAATAGTAGTTTTAACCAGTTTACTGTTATTAATCTTAAAACAGGTGAAGCAACCAGGAATTAGTGAAGACATGACAACACTTGCACCTGGCAACCTGTTACCAAGGGAACCTACACAAATGGAGGCTGGAAAGAGAAAAAAACGAAAGAAGTCTGATCCGAAAGAGGTACAAATAGAAAAATTATTTAATAAGTGTACATATTTATGAACAAAAAGCAATGCTATCTGCCATGATGACCAACTTAGGACACTTCTGATCCTTTGTGATTTTAACAACCAAGCGTTACCAATTTCTGAGCAGACTAACATTTAAGCCATTGTACTGAACATTAAGGTGACAAAAATTGTAAGATTAACTTTTTTCAAATAATTTTGATTATGATTTCGCCTGATGACTGTGACACAGTTTTATGTATCGTCATGTCTTGAACATCAACGCTAACCATTTGAATAAAGATGTTATTCAGTGAATTCTTGAAGTTCAGAAAATATTATGCCCTGGGAAGGATATACTTCACTGGAGTAGTACATTGTAAAAAGAGAACTTTCTCAGTCACATATGTTCTGTGTTTCACTCAAATCATTCAATTGCTCCTAATTCTTACTCTTTGTAATATAATCTCTAAAAATATTGTGTTACAGTTGACGATTGAGGATCGTATTCAAGCACTAGGGCTGGCACAAAGTGGAGATAAACCTTCGGGCAGTGACCCACCCACAGCAAGTACCCTAGTGCATCTGCTCATTCAAGGTCTACAGAGCAAGGATAAGAAAATATTAAACGTAAGTGAATATCTCTTGGGTCTATGTACTATGGTCTGTATACTATGTTCTGATCTGATTTTTATTAAATGGTGACATTTGTTACAGTCTCCAACTTTTTTATGGCGGCAGTTGAACTTTTTTATGGCGGCAGTTGGTGTGAAGCGTCTTTAACAAAAGGCGGGTGGTCACATTTTGTCTGCAGTTTAGTGTAGACTCAATCTATTTGTTGCGATGATGACCAACTTAGGACACTTCTGATCCTATGTGATTTTAACAACCATGCGTTACCAATTTCTGAGCAACGTCAACCAATTGTGATAAAAACTGTATCAATTGAAATCTTAATATTGTTTGACAACGTAATGCCTTCATTATGTCAAATCTAAGTTAAAAGCTGTTATATTTATTATTATCAAATATTAGCTATATTTTTATGGATATTTTCTGATTGATTTTAGACTGTGCTCCAAAATAGGAATGATGTTATAGTTCGCAATACTGTGAAGCGCCTACCCTTACCTGCCATTATCCCCCTTGTAAATGAGCTCACTAGAAGACTACATGGGCATGCTACTAGGTAAGTTATGAGATAGTGCTAGTAGGGAGATCTTGTGTATGCTACTAGGTAAGTTATGAGATAGTGCTAGTAGGGAGATCTTGTGTATGCTACTAGATAAGTTATGAGATAGTGCTAGTAGGGAGATTGTGTGTATGCTACGTAGGTAAGTTGAGATAGTGCTAGTAGGGAGATTGTGTGTATGCTACTAGGTAAGTTATGAGATAGTGCTAGTAGGGAGATTATGTGTATGCTACTAGATAAGTTATGAGATAGTGCTAGTAGGGAGATTATGTGTATGCTACTAGGTAAGTTGAGATAGTGCTAGTAGGGAATATGCCTCATAAAATCAGACCATGTTTCAAGTGAAACAGAAAGATGCTATGAGTATCAGAATGATTTTACGCCCATATGTGTTATTTTATGATATAAAGCGAGTATATACAATCCACATAATATGCTATAGTGATGAAAGTGTTTAGTATGATACCCAGTGATTATACACATCACTTGCTACTATCACCATCTGAATGGCATTATACAAGGGCCGAGCAATATATTCACTACTTTTTGCTCTCAAATTGTTAATAATAAAGTATCTTACCTGAAATTTTCCAAAATAATAGAAAAAACATTTTTCTGTAATATCACCAAATGTGCATTTATTTGGTTACATCCGTAATATTTTACATGGCATTGAATATTGGTTGATAGTGACCACCGGAGCTGACATTTGTGACAATGTTCCAGAAAACAACTTTTTTATACAAAATGTCCTTTTTGTTAATTAAGACAGTTACTCCTCATTCCATGCCTCATTCTCAAAATAGTGTCCATCTGCAGCTATGCATTTTCTACATCGGGAAAGCCAGTCTTGATAGGCCTGTTGCAGTCCGTTTCCATTTCCATATAGGTCTTTTAGGGCCTTATGGATGGCCTCAACCACTTCTTCACGGTCACCAAACCTCTGCCCGCGTAGCTCATTCTTCAGTTTGCCGAAAATTTCAAAGTCGCACAATGCAAGGTCTGGACTGTATGGTGCATGATCAAATTTTTCAATGTTTAGAGCTGCTAATATATCAGTTACCTCATGGGCCCTGTGTGATGGAGCATTATCTTGATTATATATCATATGGTTGATCAATACTGGGCGCTTTTTACGAACTGCATCCATGAAGTTCTTGCTTCTTGATGCAACTCAGGAAGGAGAGTCTCCCTTTTGTGATGCATATGCGGATCAATTGTGACCTCTTTATTCTTTGAAAAGAACATCTATGACATCACAAACATTGTTCTGAATATTGGATCAATGTCCAGTAAACAATGTATATCTCTTGACCAAAGCCACATGTAGAACATCATTGAAATATTCTCTTGGGAATATGTATTGATAGTAAGACAAGATTATAAAAATGAGAGCAGATTCATTTCCCATTCAATGACTGTTTGATTGTAAGTATGGTATTACTATTAATAAGCAAATATATTTGTTTTCATTCCAGTGGTCATACAGTGCTGAAGTGGTTGAAAACAGTACTTGTTAGCCATACATCATACCTAATGTCAGTAAGTAATTCACTTTTATCTCTCCAATATTCTACATTTATTCTATGAATACCATTTTCTCTGGGAAAAAATCGTTAAAAATAAAATTGATTTTTCCCAGTCCTGTATTCATTCCTATATTCAATTCTGTTTATCGCTAAAATCCTATTTTCAATCCCATATTTGTCCAAATCCCATATCCAATCCCTTACTCAATCCGGTATTTGCGAAAATTCATTTTTCTTCATGTTTAAGTCAATTCCTGATTTCATCTCATACGATTCCATATTTATTTAGAATCATTGAATTTTATTTAATTGCTTCTATGGCAAACATGCCTTCATCAAGTCATTAAAACCTTTAAAAGTTTTGGAATCATACTGAAGTGAGGATCGAGAGCGGATTGAGCAATTTTCGTGTTCGTCTAAGTGTTTTCATTGTTTGCCCAACTGCTCGACTAATCAGGGTGTTCATGGATCAGGATTTAAGAATCGTCAATATAAGAAGTCAAACAGGATTGATTTAAAAACTGATTTGGTAAAGAATGCATCTCTTGAAGACTTTTCATTGGTCTGTTGTGAATCTTTGAATCATGATTTTCAGATGGATCGTATATGTATCAGGTTATGAGGTACTGCTATAGTGATGAAAGTGTTTAGTATGATACCCAGTGATTATACACATCACTTGCTACTATCACCATCTGAATGGCCTTCAATGACCTCTAAATTTTGTCAACATAAAGAATAAACAATTTAAAACCTGAGATTGACATAATGGGTTGACCCAACCCGTGGAGCAATTAACTGCGTTTAACTGTCCTGGACTGGACCCATCTCTTGAGAATGCATGCCAAAACTTGAGTGTATGGAATTGAGCAAGGGTAAAAATAGTGAAAATTGACTGAGTTTCCAGTTTTATCTCACTTTTAAGTTGCTATCAAAATATAATGTTGTGTACCATTGTAGCTCATTTTCATCCCACCCAACAAAGGCTGAGGGGGTTATAAGAAAGCCGTTTGTCCGTCCATTCTTCCGTCCGTTTCTTTGTATAATTACATTTCATTGTATTGTTTCAGTTCCCAGATGTTGTAGAGACGTTTAGCAGCATGTATCAAATGATGGACGCCCGGGTGTCAATGTTCAGTAACATATCTAAACTACAAGGCAAGCTGGACCTCATGTTATCTCAGGTAAAGTGGTTTATTCAGTATAACCTCAGTGTATAAACTCAGTGTATTGAGCAAATGGACTTTCAGGTTGGTGCAAGCCTATTATCAGAATCTCATGCGGGTGCTGCGCCCACTTGCTTTAATGCTGGGGAAATCACTGCACCTAGCTCTGTAACACTGTAACACCTCTTTAATACTCAAATTGAACATTATTTTTATTTCCATATGCATTTTATGCAAGAATTAACAAAGATGCAATAAGAAAAAAGTAGGAATAAAGAACCTACTGTATTGTAGTGATGAAAGTGTTTAGCATGATACCTTGTGATTATACACATCACTTGCTACTATCACCATCTGAACAATGTCTATTTGATGTTACAAATTCACTCCACTCATATAGCAGTTAAAGGATTGATTGCTTTGATATTTCGTGTATATTTTGTGTTCCTCCTGTGGCTAACTGGTATTTTCGTTATAAGTAAGGACAATCCTCAACTTTCTGAGATTTTGTTTAACTTTAGGATCATATTAAATTTCACCATGATTTATCTTTGACTCACTGGGAGTCCAATTTTGGACTCATCTATTTACTCACTAGTATTCCCAGCTCATGAAAATTATCAGTTCTTGTTCAAATAATTTCTCGTTAAATCATGAGGCTTGGAATTGTCAAGGTTGTAAATTTATTCCTGTTTTTTTTTGTGTATTCTAGGTGACATCACAGGGTGGCAGCGGTGAAGAGGAATCTGGCACCCCAACCTCTCATCAGCCATTGTTGCTGTATCAAGAAGGTATGAGTAATTTATGTGTTTCATCGTTCAACTTGACACTGAATGCTGAATAGCCAAAATGTAATGTTTCAAACTTATAGTGTGCAAAAAATAATTCAAATCTACAGTAATACTTTGTTTATGAACAAACACTGAACTTTGATTTTTGGCATCTTAAAAGCTTTATTATAGGCCAGTTTCCCCAGAAATGGTTTTTCTAAATGTGAACTGTAATGGAACCACATTTAAATATGATTATGGTCACACTGTTGACAGTCTTGGTGAAATAATGTTTATTTCAATATGTTTTAACCCTACTGCCTATACAAACAAAATCAGAAATGCTGATTGTTGGTGTACCTTTTGCTTGAATGATTTGAAAAATCAACATACATTGAATACAGCCTCTCACCAACAAAAAGTTACTATGTTAATCAATAACTATTAAAATTTCTGTATGTAGTGAGTTATCTTTCCAATGTTAATTTGTGTTTACAGAGTCTTCAGATGAAGAGGATGCCATGCTAGAAGACATCGTAGTTAGCCACTCAGAGTCAGAGGTAAGATAACATTACAGTAACACCTATCTAATTCAAAACACCTCTGGGACCAGCCAAAGGTGTTTGGCAGGTGTTCACATTTCAAATTTTATATGTCCCCACCAGAAATGATGACCTATTGTTATTGTTTCCAACTTTTTTTGTGGATGGTGTTCGGCAGATTGTCTGTAATGAATAGCGGGGGGTGATATTTTGCATGTTATTTGCATGTTAATGTCTTGGTTGATATGTGAGTCCTTGAAAGATAATAAAATTGGCACAGAGAAAAAATGGTCACATTGAGGGGTGTTTGAATTAGATAGGTGTTAATGGATATACAGGTTCAGTGTTCAGGTTTTACTGTAGTCTTGCATCAAGCTTCTTATTTACCATATGCCCCTGCTTGTGTTAGAGAGGATGGTTCCCAGGGAAATCAGGGATTGATGCAAGACTATACAAAATGTAAATAATATGTTGTAGTGATGAAAGTGTTTAGTATGATATCCAGTGATTATACACATCACTTGCTACTATCACCATCTGAACAACTTTATATCCCTGCATTCTATTTGTTAAAATGAATACAGAGTTGAAATTTACAAATTACCGATTACAAAACTCCTCACCACAAAGAAAAATTACTTAAAAATTATTTGTCGATATTTGATACAGCCCTCTGCCTCTGTCCAGTAGGTATCTGATTCTATATTTTCCCGGTTCATTTTGCAGATTGATATCTCAGGTACTAATGATCTTATAGAAGGGGTGATCAATAAGTAATGGACTATTTTTTACTGTTTCAGGACAACTGGGAAGAATTATCAGATGATGACCGGAATGCAATGGACGTTGAGAATGATCAAGGAAAAGAATCAGAGGATGATTCGGACAATGAAGATATTGTAGAAAATGGCAACTCCTCCAGTGAATCTGATATGGAATAGTGCCATGTTCTCACCAATTAGTTGGGACTCCATTCCTGTTGTGCATAGTGCTTTGGGGACCAACTGTGTGGTCTCTGATGATTATGGGTCAATTTGTGTGGCCCATGGTGATTATGGGTCAAACTGTGTGGTCTCTGATGATTATTGGTCAAACTATGGTGATTATGGGTCAAACTGTGTGGTCCATGGTGATTATGGGTCAAACTGTGTGGTCCATGGTGATTATGGGTCAAACTGTGTGGTCCATGGTGATTATGGGTCAAACAGTGTGGTCCATGGTGATTATGGGTCAAACTGTGTGGTCCATGGTGATTATGGGTCAAACAGTGTGGTCCATGATGGTTTTGGTTTAAACTATGGAGTCCCCAATTATTGGAAAGGATACCTGGTGGTGGTCATTTGGCCAAATATTACATGTAATTTTCAAAGAACGATGGGGTGGCCCACTTTCTTCAATAAATTATCCTACTTACACATGTCTAGGAAAAAAACAAACACATTCATACTTTTCTACCTACTGGCGTTTGTAGTAAAAGGGTGAACCACCAAAAAATCTAGAGACAATGAAATGTGACTATGAATCTGCAAACCTTCTTATGAGGTGGTAACATCAAAGGAAAGCATGGAAAAAGTATTGCGATATTTTAGGTTGAAACCTCTTATATAAGCCTTCGTAGACTGGATATTTATGACTTGAAATGAATATTCAATAGTAGGCCAGTATGAATAAGACTAAGACTTGTAAAATACAAACTATGCAATATTGAGTTCGATTCTTCACATGCAAATGTAGAAATATATGCAACATAAATCGAAGACTGGGGTAATTTAGATGATATAGTGAGTAAAATGGGTCACCCCTTAAATAAAAAGTTTATATGAATATTGAATAAGTTGGGTCTTCCAACAAGATGTTTTTAAGTTTTTCAAAGAATGAGAAACATTCAATACGAATATAATTTCAGTTATTCTCTGTTACGTACACATATACAAGAAGTGAGTACATTAAGAAGTAACACGATCCTGTTGATTCGAATTGAATTGCATGTTTTGAAACCAGCTAGGAAATAAAAATTAAAAAAAACTAATATAGGAACTGAAGGAAGAAATCATTGTCCAGTTCCAACATTGTATGTTATAAGAATTTAATGCTATGTAGGTCAAAACTGGATTCGTTTGAGAATTGGATTTTTTATTAACATGCTGGAATGATTAGAATGCCTCCTCTCCTATGTAAGGAGTGCACATAATGATCTGCTAAGGAGATTGGATGTGTAGTTTGTACATATTAAAGAAGGTTACCAATTATCACGCCCGGTGATCGTGAAAATGGGACGGAGGGGGGGAGCAGGCAATTTCCGATAGAAAATTCAACAAATCTGGTAAAATTATTTTTCAAGACAGAGTTTACGATTGAATTGCAAATTGAATAAGCGCACGGTATGATAAAATATGTTAGGTATTCTAGGATTATTTTTCAACCGATACTATTTTAAGATATAAGATCTATTAAAAAAGGCGCAACGCAACCAACGTGCAAAAGTCAAAGATTTTGCTATAAATCAAGCAACAATGGACTACACGACCTGTAATAAATACTTGTAAGTGATGTTATCATAACTAAATTAATGTCATTGCTGAATTTATAAAATAAGTTTCCATACGTAAAATAAAAAATAATCGAAAATAATTAAAATGGGACGGAGGGGGGGAGGGGACGGAGGGGGGGGGGAGTAATAATTCTATAAAGTGAAACAACTTCACACGAATTCTTGTATTTGAAAAAAGAACTCATTAACTTAGTAAGAAACTGGATGATATACCCCTGGAGACTGAAAAATGGGGACATTTGGAGTAAAAGGACTTAAAGTCGCGAAACATCTCTAATCATGTCTTATATACATATTGCTCCCCCCCTCCGTCCCCTCCCCCCTCCGTCCCAAATTCATTATTTTCGATTGTTTTTTATTTCACATATGGAAACTTATTTTATAAATTCAGCAATGACATTAATTTAGTTATGATAACATCACTTACAAGTATTTATTACAGGTCGTCCAGACCATTGTTGCTTGATTTATAGCAAAAACGTTGATTTGTGCCTGTTGATGGCCTTGCGCCTTTTTTAATAGATCTCATACCTTAGATGCGTATCGTTTCAGAAAAAATCCCAGAAAACCTAACATATTCTACCATACCGTGCGCCTATCCATTTAGCAATTCAATAGTAAACTTTTTCTTGAAAAAATAAATCTTCCAGATTTGTTGAATTTCATAGCAGAAATTGCCTGCTCCCCCCCCCCCCTCCGTCCCATATTCACGATCACCGGGCGTGATTATGAACAATTGTGGAATAATGAAATTCATTTCTTCGGGGGGGAGGGAGGGGGTGAATAATGATTTTTTAAAGGAACAGTTTATTTTATAGATAGTACTATTTAAACGAAAGTCAAATTTTAAACATTTGAATATCTTGGGTATGAGGAAAACAAAATTACTTACAAATGTTGATAATTGGCTAATTGGACGCCATGCCTAATAACATGTACATGAATGATGATTACATGTAATGATAACATGGTAACATGTATGCTAATAAAGCGATCAGGTTAAAATAAAAAGCTATTTTTATGAACTGAAAACACTGGCCTTGTGTCATTTAAAAATGGTTAATAATTGAGGTATTGTAATAATTAATGGTACTGGCCCATTGTCTCATTCCAAGATCAGTTGGGTTTGGTTCATAACAACATTTGTCTGATATAGAATAGAGTTATTGTAGAGGTTTGATACACAAAAGCCATGGGATATTAGATCAGGATCTCCTGAATTTCCTTTGCACCCATGTGTATTCAAAGGTTTTTGTCGCACTTGAAATGATATATTTTTGTTCCTATAATGGGCATAATCGCGGGTGACAGGAGAAATCTTTCCACCAAGATGGCAAGAAAATATCATTTGTTTAGCTTGAAATTAAAGGAAGAATGTAATTTAAAAGATATTAACGTTAAAACCTAACATAAGAGGGTTTGTCAATTCTTTCCATAGATGCTATTGCAGTATTGAAGGATGACCATTGACCAAACAGTTCCTGCCGCCCAGGAAGTTAGTTACAGATGTTCCCCAGACAGGCAGTGTTCGTTTTTACATCGCGCATGTATATACAGAGTGTCTCAAAAAATGTTACACTCACAAAAAGTGCAATATCTTTCATAATTTTGACTTTTCCCTAAAATATACTTTGGATACCAAAAGACAAATCTTTCTCGAATAATTTGACACCATCAAATTCAAAATCTGTCATTAATTGGCTCCACATGACAGCTTTTAGTGTCCCATGGTAAAATCTGACTTGCGCCAACTTCTAAGTGATTGGATTGACCAAATGACAAAAGAGGAACAGTTTCTTTAATATTTAACTTTCTTCTGAGTAGAAGCTTGACCTTAAACTGAGCCATTATGTAATTTTCCTATTTGTCTTACATATGATCATTGGGTATAAGACATAAACATGTGGTCCCCTCAACATGTTCTCCTAATTAAACTTGAGGTACCCTTGACCATGCGTGCATGAATTGTAATATCACTCTGATTCTATCAATTATTTTTGCAGATGTTCATTTAGGTCAGTTTGTGATGCTGTAAACCGCTTTCAGAGGCCCTTCAAAAACTCAAGGGTGTAAAGTGGGATGACCCTGGGGGCCAATCCATTGGGTAATTCAATGCTCTCTAATTTCCAAAGAGTTCTACCAAACGATCTGCCACAGGCCTTTGCACCATCCTGTTGCCATCATAACAAAATTGAACACTGACAATGAAATCTTGTATTTCTATCCAGGAAAGAAACAACTGGATCATTGATCATATCAAGATATCACTGTCCACAGCATTCACACCAAAAAAGAATTGATCATCACATGTCCAGCCACTGAGAAGTTGGCGCAAATCAGATTTCACATGGGTCTATAAAATCTGTCCTGTGCAGTCAATCTTGGACGGATTTTGAATCTGATGGTGTGGATTTATTCGAGAAAGACTGGTCTTATGGTATCTAAGTATATTTTAGGGGAAAAGTCAAAATCATGAAAGATATTGAACTTTTTGTGAGTGTAACATTTTTTTGAGACACACTGTAGTAAGGTCATATTTAATGTATAATTGCCTATGGTTCATGGTGTAATGATTTTTGTAAAACAATCACATAGTAAGTACAAGTAGGTTTTTGGTAACTAAGATGAACCAAAAATAAGCTTGAAGAGGAATGAATTTGTTGTTCACATTTGGAACAATGGTTCAAACACGATTAAAGGCATTAAAGAGACATACATGGGAATCGATCTCATCTATGCCTACATACTTTTGGTTCAAAATGTGTCGTCTCTGGTGGCTATTGCGTAAATGGCGTAATGAATCATGTATTAAAACTGGGGAACAACGCAAGAATCATTTGCTTTTCAAGCTATCAAGAACTATGGATATACTCTAGAACTTGAATCAAGATTTAGAAGCAGTGGCGGATTCGGGCCCCCCATCATTCAGTGGGCCCAAAAATTTGGTAGGGTCTCAGAAAGGGCCTTTTTGGGCATAATTTGGCCTTTTTGAGCCAATTTATCAAAAACTGGCTTCAATTTTCAAAATTTGGGGGCCCAATTTTGGGTTTTAGGGGCCTGATTTTTTTTCAAGACTCAAACCCCCCCCCCCCCCTTGTTAATTTCTGGATGCCACTGAGAAGGACGTGCCAATATATTTTAAATGGAAACAACTTGGACGAAGAAGGATGTATGGATGATTCTTGAATTTAAACTTAATGAGATCAAGAGGGATATAAAATGAGAATCGAATGATATATTATTATTGAAATGAAAATACGTTCTTCTGGTAAATGTGAATAATCTTGTATATGTCTTAAATAAAGTCGTATATATATATCTGATTTGAATATCTTCTAAACATATAGAATGGTGAATAAATGCACAAATAGATGGAGTTATTTGGATTTTATATGTATTTACAATATTTACAAGTATTCACAATATTTACAAGTATTTACAATATTTACAAGTATTTACAATGTTTACAACTGACCCAGTTATCTATCATTGCCTGAATCACCAATTGACCCAGTTATCTATCAGTGACTGAATCACCAATTGACCCAGTTATTTATCATTGACGGAACCACCAATTGACCCAGTTATCTATCATTGCCTGGATCACCAATTGACCCAGTTTTCTATCATTGACTGAATCACAAATTGACCCAGTTTTCTATCATTGACTAAATCACCAATTGCCAATTGACCCAGTTTTCTATCATTGACTGAACCACCAATTGACCCAGTTATCTATCAGTGACTGAATCACCAATTGACCCAGTTGTTTATCATTGACTGAATCACCAATTGACCCAGTTATTTATCATTGACTGAACCACCAATTGACCCAGTTATCTATCATTGCCTGAATCACCAATTGACCCAGTTTTCTATCATTGACTGAATCACCAATTGACCCAGTTTTCTATCATTGACTGAACCACCAATTGACCCAGTTATCTATCATTGCCTGAATCACCAATTGACCCAATTATACATCATTGACTGAATAACCAATTGACCAAGTTGTTTATCATTGCCTGAATCACCAATTGACCCAGTTGTTTATCATTGACTGAATCATCAATAGACCCAGTTGTTTATCATTGACTGAATCACCAATTGACCCAGTTATTTATCATTGACTGAACCACCAATTGACCCAGTTGTTTATCATTGCCTGAATCACCAATTGACCCAGTTGTTTATCATTCACTGAATCACTAATTGACCCAGTCGTTTATCATTGCCCGAATCATCAATTGACCCAATTTTCTATCATTGACTGAATCACCAATTGACCCAGTTGTTAAATTTAAAGGGCACGCATATGTTAAAACTCAGTCCGTAATTTCACATAGTTGGTCTCCACTTTTGGGATCGTGTAGACCAGATTGCCTGTGCGAATCGTACAATATGTGTTGAATCGAATCACATGTACAAGGACAGCAGGGCATAGGCTCATAGGCTCAAGTCCCGTACTGGTTTCCTGCGATGGAACTGGATCTATACAAGGCATTCATTACGACCTCCTAGAATGTCGCATCATTCTCGCATATTGTGTGCGTCTTTCTTAAGTTTTTGAAATATGGATAATATAGTCCTGTTTCGTATACAATAGTATGTTTCAATAGATTATGTTATTGTCCTATGACACGCTTCACACTATCCACAATGTTCATCAGTTTCTTTTTAATTGACTTCCCAATTTTTTTGAAGCCCTGCTTTATTGTCTTTGACGGTTTTGTCTCCTTTGTCTTTTCTTTTGTGTTTTTATTCAACGACTGTGTTTTCCTAGCTAGATTGATTTCTTCATGTCCAAACACTTTGGTTACTTCGAGTAATCCACGCTTGTTCAAGTTGTTGCTGTTGTTGTTGTTGGCTGACATTATCATTTGCTGTATTGGTGTCAGAGGCTCGGGGACGTTCAGTGTTGGCTTTACAAACATAGGGCTGGCTGATCGTTGTGATGTTGTCAAGTCATCTTTATGTTCTATCGAGAGTGGGCTATCTGCAAAACAGTGAATCAAAACTGTACTTTTTCTGTCATATATACTTTTTGAAATATTAACTGATAAAAATTTAAGATATAAAATCAAATGGAAAACAAGTCCCTCTTGTTTTATATTCACTTTTTAAACTATACCTTATTGAAAATCAAAATCGTTTCATTGTCAAGAGTGTTAAAACATGTTTTTATAAATTCACCATGTTAGTTTTTGGACATTGTGAAATTAATGAGCGTTCTTGTATATGGAAGATTTTCTTACCAGATTCATTTCTGTTGTGATAGCTTCTGTTCATATTCGGGAAGGACATGTTAGTTTCAGTAGCCCAAGTACGTTCCCTGGCTTGGGCTCGCCTTATTTCGGCCATAGTTGCACGGTATTCTGCTAGGAGGACATCTTTTGGGATTCCAAAATTCCCGCAAATTTGTTGAACGATGTTATCTTTCATCGCAGTGTTGGCATTGTAGAAATCCTCGCCTAACATCATTTCAACAATTCCTTTGACCTGTAGTTGTTGCTCAGCCTGACTCAAATCTTCAAATTGCAGTGGACGTTCAATCGGTTCCTCAGGCTGGAGGTTCAATGGGTTTTTCGCGTCAAATGTTTCTTCATGCATTATTTTCAGCTGTTCACGAGGGTTCTTTCCAATTAGAATTTGTTTTTGTACACTTGGATGCAACTGAGCAAATGTTACTACGCCTGGGGGTAAGTCTTCCGGATTAGGACGTCTTGGTTTTTCGGGTTCCTTTTCTACCTTTTGACCACGCCTATTCAGGAGTTTTGTATGTGGTCTTAAGCCCACATTAGTACCGGACCCAGGTACAGATCTACCTCTCGGAACACCACCGACAGCGCCGAGAGCAGGAGAAAACTTTTTTCCCTTGGGATCTGTCAATTTAAATTGGTTTTTTCCAACTTTAATCGTCTTAGGTTTATCCTCGATGGGATCAGAGGGGGTCTTTTCAAGTCCTGTTTTTGCTTGATTGGCACTTTTGTGTGGAACTGGGCCCAATCTTTGAGAGCTTTGACCAGGGTGTGAAAGTCCAAGACCTATTCTTTCTGGGTTTTGACCTGAGCGTGGAAGTCCAAGACCTATTCTTTCTGGGTTTTGACCTGGGCGTGGAAGTCCAAATTCAATGCCTTCCCCCGATTCCTCAGACTCGAGAAGGTCATCGTCAACGTATGAGCCATTGGCCATTTGCGGAGTTGTCTGTAATGGACCGAATTTGGTAGAATTAACATTACCATATGTTGACATTTTTGGTTGAATGCCTCCACTACTTGGGCCATGCTGCATCATTATATTGCTTTCATTATGGAACACACTACCGTCCAAATGCGAGGTGTCTCGTTGGCTCCTGGAACCGCCATCAACGGGGAATTTGTTTTTGTTTTTCTTCTGTTTTTTCTTCTTCTTAATAAAGGTAGTAGTTCCACACGTACCGGTTGGCTCTGTTGAAGTATTCTTTCCTTTAGTCATTAGAGATGATATACTATCAGGATTAGGATTAAGTCCAAGTGGGGTTAGTTTTACTGAAGACATAGGAGCTATCTCAGTGTGTCTGCCCTTAGAGAGAAGGCCAGCCACATTATCGTCAGAACTAGAATCTTCAATGAAGTCAATCAGTGGTCCAGGCACAAAGGAAGGTTTACGTGGGACATCTTTGAAAATAGGATTATTTTCAATAGGATCATCTTCCTCGGGAAAGAATTTCAAAGGCCCTGGTTTGAATGCAGCCTTGCGAGGAACACCAAAGTCTTTTAAGGCAGGGTCGTTTATTTTTGCTTGTTTGGAAAGCTGTGCTATTTCTTCATTTAGTTTTTCTGCCTCGACTTCCTTAGTTCTTTCATTTTGTTCTTCTTTCATTGCTTCCTCCTCATACACCTCGAGTGCTCTTTCTCTTTCTAACTCTTTTAGTTTCTTCTTTTCCTCTTCTTCAAGCTTCTTTTCTTGAATTCGCTTTTCCTCTTGTTTTTTTAGTTGATCTTGTCTCTCCCTTTCTTCATCTGCTCTCCTCATTTCCTCCCTCAAAGCCAATTGTCGTCTTTCTTCTTCTTCTTTTGCTTCTTGATTTTTTCTTCTTTGTTTTTCTAGTCTCTTCTTTTCAATTTCTTTCTTTTCTTGTTCAGCTTGTTGTTTCATTTCTTCTTGTCGCTGCTTGTTTGCATTACGCATTTTCTCAATCTCAAGTGCAAGTACTTTTCCTCGTTCACGGCGTTCTTCTTCTTCCATCTTTTTGATTTCAGCTTCTTTAGACAGTCTCTTTTGCTCAACTTCTTCTTTCTGCTTTCTCAACTGATCTATTTCTTCTTGCTTCGCTTTTTCTTTCTCCAATAATTTTTGTTTTGTTTCTTCTAAACGTGTCTGCCTATCTTGCTCACGTTTTTTTCTTGTCTCAGCTTCCCATTTTTGTTGGTTTTCTTCCAGTTTTCTTTTTTCCTTTTCAGCCTCTTGCTTCTCAATTGCAAGTTTCTTGGCCTCTTCTTTCTTGACCCTTTCGTCTATTTTTCTTCTCACTTCCTCATCTATCAGTCTCCGTCTTTCGTCTGCCTTTCTTTTCTCTTCTTCAACCTTCTTTCTTTCGGCCTCGGCTTTATTCTTCTCTTCTAGCTCCTGTATTTCTTTTAGTTTTTGCACCTCTTCAGCTTTCAACTTTTCAATGTATTTTTGCTCTTCTTCGGCTTTCTGCTTTTCTTTTAGTTTTCGTTCCTCATCGGCTTTCTGCTTTTCATTTAGTTTTCGTTCCTTTTCGGCATTCTGCTTATCTATTAATTTCTGTTCCTCTTTGGCATTCTGCTTTTCTATAAGTTTTCGCTCTTCTTCGGCATTCTGCTTTTCCATTAATTGTTCTTCCTCTTCATCGTTCTGCTTTTCCTTTGATTCCACACTTTCATCTTCTGCATAGAATAATGCTTTTTCTTTTCTTTTTCGTTCTTCCTCCTTTGATACTTTTTGTATTTTGCGTTCCTTTTTATTAAGTAGCTTTTTGTCGAGGGGTTCTTTCTTATTTCTAGCTATTTTAAATATATTGTCAAACTCGTCATCAAGTTTTATATCAGTTACTTCATCTTCTTCATCACTACCATATGTCTTAAGGTCATCACTTTCGCTGTCATTTGGATTCATACTTCCAAAAGATACGCTTTTCTTCGCTATGGGTTTTAAAGGAGTTGTTACCACGAGATCTTTCATCTTCTCAAACTCATGTTTATCATTTTCTAATTGTATTTGTTGTTGTTTCAGATCCTTTTCCTTTGCTTCAATCTCTAAGTCTTTCTTCTTAAATTCTAATTCTTTTGAATTCATTTCATGGCCTTTCGTATTGAACTGAATCTCTCTAGCATTCACATCCCGCCATTTCTTTTTGAATTCATTTTCTTCGGCATTAATATCTTGAAATCTCTTTTTCATTTCCAACTCTTTCATACCAATTTCGTGGTCCTTCTTTATGAATTCCATTTCTTTTTCCGAAAATTGTGCATCTATTTCTCTTGCTTTCTTTTCAAGTTCCAACTCTCTCCTTCTATTTATTTCTTCAAAATCCTCTTCATGTTGTCGTTGTTCATTTCTGAGCTTTGCAAGTTTTATTTTGTTTTCCTTTACTTTTGCTTCATCCATTTTATTCATTTCATCACTGGATGTAAGAAATACTTTTTTCATCTCAACTGACTTCTTTTCAAATTCAAGATTCGTTCTATCAGATTTTGCCTTTGAACTTTCTTCTTCTAGCTCTTCTCGCATTTTTTCCAGTCGTTTATTTTCAGCTTCTACAATCTTCTTGCTTGCTTCAAGAGAATCCTTTTTAGCCTCCAGAATATCTTCGTCATGTCCACGTTTCATCTCTCTACATTCATCTATAATGAGGTAGTTTAACTCTTTCTGTTCAAAGATAGTATCTTTGGCCAATTGTAACAATTCATTTGTGTCATTAATCTTGGATGGAGGTGGAGCTATTAAATCTGATCTCATCTTTTTCAATTCATTTTGAAGGTCGTCTAATTGAGATTGTATTCGTTCCTCTTGTTTCCCAAACAAATCATAGAGCAGTCTTGTACTGCAAGAGTTGCCTTCTGTTTCTTTTGGAGGCGCCACTATCTCAATTTTCAATTGCACATCCTTAATAACGGTCTCTTTAGTTTCCTTTGAGACAGGAGACTCTTTTGTATCATCTGCGACGGGAACTTCACCATGTGAAATATTAGTATGCTTGGGACTTACATCGTCGTTACCAATTTTTACCTGTTGGGAAATCTTGTTGTCAGGATCAGCGATGGCGTTCTCAGATGTGCGTCTTTCATATTTCTCGTAATGTTCGTGGATAACTGGTGCGTATATGATGTCGCCCGAGGCATGCCAGTTAGCATTAGAATAATTAGTACTAGATCTAAGCACTTCGGGGCGATCAACAGCAAAACCACCAAGCAATTTATTTTGATTCTCTTTGCCGCCCTTGTGATATGATTCGTCTACCACGTGGTTATTTAGCTTCTGGGATGGCGTTTGCTTTAACCTTTGCGAAGGGGAATTTCTTTCTATCTCCCACTGCTCTAGTTCTTTGTATTTTGCAGCCCGACGACTGAGCTTTTCTTTCAATGACCTACCAACGTATTCATAAACGTCATCCGGGATTGTAACTTGAAGTTGTGAGCCAGACGACCTGCCAATTCCACGTTTGCTCGCAGGATAGTCTTCCATAGGGTAGTTTGTCACAGGAATCATGTCAGCAGTAGGATCAATCTTGCCATCGAAACGTAGCTGTTAAAATTAGAAGGGATTATGAAAATAGTTGGACTAGATATCGAGACACTTTTAACGTTGATTAACATTTTACTTTACAATTCCTATAAACAAAGTTGAATAAAACTATTTTTCTTTGGTGTTTTTAATTGGTAAAACGAGTAAATTCAAATCTAAAGATCAGCTCTGGTATTAAATAAGGAGATGGAAGGCCCATGATCAGATCTTAAAATTAAGTTACTAACGAGGGAATAAAAGGTAGTGATACGGTCGTGTATTAGTGTATTAGATTGGGAAATGAAAGAGTAATGATCAGGTCTTGTAATGGGGTATTCAATTTGGGGATGAAAAGGCAATGTTCAACTCTTGTAAAAGGTATTAAATGAGGAAAGGAAAGGGTAATGATGAGGTCTTGTAATAGGTATTCAATGAAGAGATGAAAGGCCAGTGATCAGTTCATGTAATAGGTATTCAATGAAGAGATGAAAGGCCAGTGATCAGTTCATGTAATAAGGTATTCGATGAAAAGATGAAACGCCAATGATCAGTTCTTGTAATAAGGTATTCGATGAAGAGATGAAAGGCCAGTGATCAGTTCATGTAATAAGGTATTCGATGAAGAGATGAAAGGCCAAAGATCAGTTCTTGTAATAAGGTATTCGATGAAGAGATGAAAGGCCGACGATCAGTTCTTGTAATAAGGTATTCGATGAAGAGATGAAAGGCCAGTGATCAGTTCTTGTAATAAGGTATTCGATGAAGAGATGAAAGGCAAAGGATCAGTTCTTGTAATAAGGTATTCGATGAAGAGATGAAAGGCCGACGATCAGTTCTTGTAATAAGGTATTCAATGAAGAGATGAAAGGCCAATGATCAGTTCTTGTAACAAGGTATTTAATGAGGAGATGAAAGGCCAGTGATCAGTTCATGTAATAAGGTATTCGATGAAGAGATGAAAGGCCAATGATCAGTTCGTGTAACAAGGTATTCAATGAAGAGATGAAAGGCCGACGATCAGTTCTTGTAATAAGGTATTCAATGAAGAGATGAAAGGCAAAGGATCAGTTCTTGTAATAAGGTATTCGATGAAGAGATGAAAGGCAAACGATCAGTTCATGTAATAAGGTATTCAATGAAGAGATGAAAGGCCAATGATCAGTTCTTGTAACAAGGTATTTAATGAGGAGATGAAAGGCCAGTGATCAGTTCTTGTAAAAAGGTATTCAATGAAGAGATGAAAGGCCAATGATCAGTTCTTGTAACAAGGTATTTAATGAGGAGATGAAAGGCCAGTGATCAGTTCATGTAATAAAGTATTCAATGAAGAGATGAAAGGCCGACGATCAGTTCTTGTAATAAGGTATTCAATGAAGAGATGAAAGGCCAATGATCAGTTCGTGTAACAAGGTATTTAATGAGGAGATGAAAGGCCAGTGATCAGTTCATGTAATAAAGTATTCGATGAAGAGATGAAAGGCCGACGATCAGTTCATGTAATAAGGTATTTAATGAAGAGATGAAAGGCCAATGATCAGTTCGTGTAACAAGGTATTTAATGAGGAGATGAAAGGCCAGTGATCAGTTCATGTAATAAGGTATTCGATGAAGAGATGAAAGGCCGACGATCAGTTCTTGTAACAAGGTATTCAATGAAGAGATGAAAGGCCAATGATCAGTTCTTGTAATAAGGTATTCGATGAGGAGATGAAAGGCCAATGATCAGTTCTTGTAATAAGGTATTCGATGAGGAGATGAAAGGCCAGTGATCAGTTCATGTAATAAGATATTCGATGAAGAGATGAAAGGCCGACGATCAGTTCTTGTAATAAGGTATTCAATGAAGAGATGAAAGGCCAATGATCAGTTCTTGTAATAAGGTATTCGATGAAGAGATGAAAGGCCAGTGATCAGTTCATGTAATAAGATATTCGATGAAGAGATGAAAGGCCGACGATCAGTTCTTGTAATAAGGTATTCAATGAAGAGATGAAAGGCAAAGGATCAGTTCTTGTAATAAGGTATTCGATGAAGAGATGAAAGGCCAACGATCAGTTCTTGTAATAAGGTATTCGATGAAGAGATGAAAGGCAAAGGATCAGTTCTTGTAATAAGGTATTCAATGAAGAGATGAAAGGCCGACGATCAGTTCTTGTAATAAGGTATTCAATGAAGAGATGAAAGGCAAAGGATCAGTTCTTGTAATAAGGTATTCGATGAAGAGATGAAAGGCCAACGATCAGTTCATGTAATAAGGTATTCGATGAAGAGATGAAAGGCAAACGATCAGTTCTTGTAATAAGGTATTCAATGAAGAGATGAAAGGCAAAGGATCAGTTCTTGTAATAAGGTATTCGATGAAGAGATGAAAGGCCAACGATCAGTTCATGTAATAAGGTATTCGATGAAGAGATGAAAGGCCGACGATCAGTTCTTGTAATAAGGTATTCAATGAAGAGATGAAAGGCAAAGGATCAGTTCTTGTAATAAGGTATTCGATGAAGAGATGAAAGGCCAACGATCAATTCATGTAATAAGGTATTCGATGAAGAGATGAAAGGCCGACGATCAGTTCTTGTAACAAGGTATTTAATGAGGAGATGAAAGGCCAGTGATCAGTTCATGTAATAAAGTATTCAATGAAGAGATGAAAGGCCAACGATCAGTTCTTGTAATAAGGTATTCGATGAAGAGATGAAAGGCAAACGATCAGTTCTTGTAATAAAGTATTCAATGAAGAGATGAAAGGCAAAGGATCAGTTCGTGTAACAAGGTATTTAATGAGGAGATGAAAGGCAAAGGATCAGTTCTTGTAACAAGGTATTCGATGAAGAGATGAAAGGCAAACGATCAGTTCTTGTAATAAGGTATTCAATGAAGAGATGAAAGGCCGACGATCAGTTCTTGTAATAAGGTATTCAATGAAGAGATGAAAGGCAAAGGATCAGTTCTTGTAATAAGGTATTCGATGAAGAGATGAAAGGCTAACGATCAGTTCTTGTAATAAGGTATTCAATGAAGAGATGAAAGGCCAATGATCAGTTCTTGTAATAAGGTATTCAATTAGGAGATGAAAGGCAAACGATCACTTCTTGTAATAAGGTATTCGTTGAAGAGATGAAAGGCCAACGATCAGTTCTTGTAATAAGGTATTCAATGAAGAGATGAAAGGCTAACGATCAGTTCTTTTAATAAGGTATTCGATGAAGAGATGAAAGGCCAACGATCAGTTCTTGTAACAAGGTATTCGATGAAGAGATGAAAGGCAAACGATCAGTTCTTGTAATAAGGTATTCAATGAGGAGATGAAAGGCCAGTGATCAGTTCATGTAATAAAGTATTCAATGAAGAGATGAAAGGCCAACGATCAGTTCTTGTAATAAGGTATTCAATGAAGAGATGAAAGGCCGACGATCAGTTCTTGTAATAAGGTATTCAATGAAGAGATGAAAGGCAAAGGATCAGTTCTTGTAATAAGGTATTCGATGAAGAGATGAAAGGCCAACGATCAGTTCTTGTAACAAGGTATTCGATGAAGAGATGAAAGGCAAACGATCAGTTCTTGTAATAAGGTATTCAATGAAGAGATGAAAGGCCGACGATCAGTTCAAGTAATAAGGTATTCGATGAAGAGATGAAAGGCCAATGATCAGTTCTTGTAATAAGGTATTCGATGAAGAGATGAAAGGCCAATGATCAGTTCTTGTAATACGGTATTCGATGAAGAGATGAAAGGCCGACGATCAGTTCATGTAATAAGGTATTCGATGAAGAGATGAAAGGCAAACGATCAGTTCTTGTAATAAGGTATTCAATGAGGAGATGAAAGGCGAGTGATCAGTTCATGTAATAAAGTATTCAATGAAGAGATGAAAGGCCAACGATCAGTTCTTGTAATAAGGTATTCGATGAAGAGATGAAAGGCAAACGATCAGTTCTTGTAATAAAGTATTCAATGAAGAGATGAAAGGCCAACGATCAGTTCTTGTAATAAGGTATTCGATGAAGAGATGAAAGGCCGACGATCAGTTCTTGTAACAAGGTATTCGATGAAGAGATGAAAGGCAAACGATCAGTTCTTGTAATAAGGTATTCAATGAAGAGATGAAAGGCCGACGATCAGTTCATGTAATAAAGTATTCGATGAAGAGATGAAAGGCCAATGATCAGTTCTTGTAATAAGGTATTCGATGAAGAGATGAAAGGCCAATGATGAGGTCTTGTAATAAGGTATTCAATGAAGAGATGAAAGGCCAATGATCAATTCTTGTAATAAGGTATTCAATGAAGAGATGAAAGGCCAATGATCAATTCTTGTAATAAGGTATTCAATGAAGAGATGAAAGGCCAGTGATCAGTTCATGTAATAAGGTATCGAATGAGGAGATGAAAGGGCAATGATGAGGTCTTGTAATAAGGTATCGAATGAGGAGATGAAAGGCCAATGATCAGTTCTTGTAACAAGGTACTCAATGAAGAGATGAAAGGCCAGTGATCAGTTCATGTAATAAGGTATCTAATGAGGAGATGAAAGGCCAGTGATCAGTTCATGTAATAAGGTATTCGATGAAGAGATGAAAGGCCAAAGATCAGTTCTTGTAATAAGGTATTCGATGAAGAGATGAAAGGCCAGTGATCAGTTCATGTAATAAGGTATTCGATGAAGAGATGAAAGGCCAAAGATCAGTTCTTGTAATAAGGTATTCGATGAAGAGATGAAAGGCCGACGATCAGTTCTTGTAATAAGGTATTCGATGAAGAGATGAAAGGCCGACGATCAGTTCATGTAATACGGTATTCAATGAAGAGATGAAAGGCCAATGATCAGTTCTTGTAACAAGGTATTTAATGAGGAGATGAAAGGCCAATGATGAGGTCTTGTAATAAGGTACTCAATGAAGAAATGAAAGTCCAACGATGAGGTCTTGTAATAAGGTATTCGATGAAGAGATGAAAGGCCAATGATCAATTCTTGTAATAAGGTATTCAATGAAGAGATGAAAGGCCAATGATCAATTCTTGTAATAAGGTATTCAATGAAGAGATGAAAGTCCAATGATCAATTCTTGTAATAAGGTATTCAATGAAGAGATGAAAGGCCAATGATCAATTCTTGTAATAAGGTATTCAATGAAGAGATGAAAGGCCAATGATCAATTCTTGTAATAAGGTATTCAATGAAGAGATGAAAGGCCAATGATCAATTCTTGTAATAAGGTATTCAATGAGGATATGAAAGTCCAATGATCAATTCTTGTAATAAGGTATTCAATTAAGAGATGAAAGGCCAATGATCAATTCTTGTAATAAGGTATTCAATGAAGAGATGAAAGTCCAATGATCTATTCTTGTTATAAGGTATCGAATGAGGAGATGAAAGGCCAACGATCAATTCTTGTAATAAGGTATTCAATGAAGAGATGAAAGGCCAGTGATCAGTTCATGTAATAAGGTATCGAATGAGGAGATGAAAGGCCAATGATGAGGTCTTGTAATAAGGTATCGAATGAGGAGATGAAAGGCCAATGATTAGTTCTTGTAATAAGGTATTGAATGAGGAGATGAAAGGCCAATGATCAGTTCTTGTAATAAGGTATCGAATGAGGAGATGAAAGGCAAATGATCAGTTCTTGTAATAAGGTATCGAATGAGGAGATGAAAGGCCAATGATTAGTTCTTGTAACAAGGTACTCAATGAAGAGATGAAAGGCCAATGATGAGGTCTTGTAATAAGGTATCGAATGAGGAGATGAAAGGCCAATGATTAGTTCTTGTAATAAGGTATCGAATGAGGAGATGAAAGGCCAATGATCAGTTCTTGTAATAAGGTATCGAATGAGGAGATGAAAGGCAAATGATCAGTTCTTGTAATAAGGTATCGAATGAGGAGATGAAAGGCCAATGATTAGTTCTTGTAACAAGGTACTCAATGAAGAGATGAAAGGCCAATGATGAGGTCTTGTAATAAGGTATCGAATGAGGAGATGAAAGGCCAATGATCAGTTCTTGTAACAAGGTACTCAATGAAGAGATGAAAGGCCAGTGATCAGTTCATGTAATAAGGTATCGAATGAGGAGATGAAAGGCCAATGATCAGTTCTTGTAATAAGGTATCGAATGAGGAGATGAAAGGCCAATGATTAGTTCTTGTAACAAGGTATTCAATGAAAAGATGAAAGGCCAGTGATCAGTTCTTGTAACAAGGTATTCAATGAAGAGATGAAAGGCCGACGATCAGTTCAAGTAATAAGGTATCTCATGAGGAGATGAAAGGCCAGTGATTAGTTCTTGTAACAAGGTATTCAATGAAAAGATGAAAGGCCAATGATCAGTTCTTGTAATAAGGTATTCAATGAGGAGATGAAAGGCCAGTGATCAGTTCTTGTAATAAGATATTCAATGAAGAGATGAAAGGCCAGTGATCAGTTCATGTAATAAGGTATTCAATGAAGAGATGAAAGGCCAATGATGAGGTCTTGTAATAAGGTATTCAATGAACAGATGAAAGGCCAATGATCAGTTCTTGTAATAAGGTATTCAATGAACAGATGAAAGGCCAATGATTAGTTCTTGTAACAAGGTATTCAATGAAGAGATGAAAGGCCAATGATCAGTTCTTGTAACAAGGTACATAATGAAGAGATGAAAGGCCAATGATGAGGTCTTGTAATAAGGTATTTAATTAGATGATGAAAATGCAATGACCAGCTCTTGTCTCTTCAATTAGGAGATGAAAGGGTATTGATTAACTCTTGAAATAGGGCATTCGGTTAAGAGATGAAAAGGCGATGATTGACTCTTGTAATGGGTATTTAATAAGAAGATGAAAAACAATGATCAGGTCTTGTAATCAGCTATTAGTTCCTCTAATAGTTTGACTATTTAATGAGGAGATGAAAGGAAAATGTTCTTCTCACATAGTTTGGTATTCAATTAGGAGATGAACGCAGGATCAGGATCCGCGGAGTGTTAACTTGATTCAACCTGAGATAGATTTCTATTCGTCCAGTTCAGATAAAATATTATAAACCCTACATTATGTTTGAAACTTTAGAAATAAATGTTATACTTACACCCTCACCCATCGCATAGCAACCACCAACTTGGCTCGCAAGCTGTCCCTTGATTCTAAAAGTAAAAATCAACTTAGATATTTTTGTGAAAGATGAATACAAGCAAATTGAGCCAACAGCCACATTGTTATGTATTCTTTCTGATAGGGTAACGTTATAGTTTTCAATGATAGCAATACGTGATATGAACGTTTATTGAATTTTGAAGTTTGAATCATGTGTAAAAATGCGGTTCCTAATATTTGGTCGTACTCTCCCCTCTATAGGCTTGGCAATAGAAGGCGTCCTTTTGGATCGGTTTTCCATCCTGTTTATGTGTATCATCCAAATTATTGTCATGTCTATGGGTGTTTACCGAAATGTAACCATTTTCACCATTATTGGCCATTTATCACTCACCTCTTTAGTTTCCTAATGAACTCAAGACAGTGATATTTCTTTCCCTCCCTAGTTCTACATACTGTCATCAGCATTGGCTGAACGTGCATTGTTATATCAAGGATATACGGGTCTACAATGAGAGACACATTCGACTTAGAATCAAGGATACAGGGTAACAAATGGAGGTCTAAAATATGAAGTACTTTCAAGCTAGAACCAGAGATACAAGGATTAACTAAATTGCCTGGCTAAACGTGCATGGTTATATCCAGGATAAACGGGTCTACAACTAAAAATACTTTCAAGCTAGAATTAGAGATACAGGGGGTAACAAAATTGGTTGAATTGCATGGTTATATCCAGGATACATATGTGTCTACACGGATACATTCAAGCTAGAATCAGAGATACAAGGGTTAAAACAAAATCTGGTAAACGTACATGGTTAATGGTTATATCCAGGATACATGCGTCTGCAACGAGAGATACTTTCAAGTTAGAATCCGAAATACAAGGGTTATCACAATTTGGTACGGTTGGGAACATAAATAAATGACAGGTGGATCTATTCTATCACCATTTCCTAGCCATGCTCATCTGAAAGCCCATACTTTCCAATATTGTCTAGATAAAAGTTGTATATTTTACATTTTATATACTCTCACCCACTGGTATATGGCCTCTTCAAAATTCTCTTAATTTTAACACTGGAAATCCTCACTTCAGCAAATCCACCTGTCATTTATTTATGTTCCAAACTGTAAACGTACATGGTTATATCCAGGACGGGTCTAAAATGAGAGATACTTTCAAACTTGAATCGGAGATACAAGGGTTAAAGAAATTAGTTGAACGTGCATGGTGATATCTAGGATACACGAGTCTGCAATGTTACTTTCAAGCTAGAATCAGAGATACAGGAGTAATAAATTAGGTAAATGACTAAACGTGCATGGTTATATCCAGGATTCATGGGTCTACAATTAAAGATACTTTCAAATAAGAATCATAGATATAGGGTTAACAAAGTTGGTGAAACGTGCATGGTTATATCCAGGATACACGGGTTTACAATGAGAGATACTAATACTAGATACTAAGCTAGAATCGGAAATACAAAGGTGGTAACAAAGTTGGTTGAGGATACATGGTTATATCCAGGATACGGGTTTACAATGAAAGATACTTTCAAGCTAGATTCAGAGATACAGGATGTAATAAAATTGGGTAAACGTGCAGGATTATTTCCAGGATACACGGTCTACAGTCAGAGATACTTTCAAGCTAGAATCAGAAATACAGGGGGTAACAAAATTGGTTGAATGGCATGTTTATTCGTATCCAGGATACACGCATCATGATAAACCATGACATCTCATTTCTTCTCAGCCCCGAGATGCCATGATATAATAAGCTTGATTTGGCGATCCAGGAGAGCCCAAAATTGAGGATTTTTGAGATCTTTCATCCCAGCTCATATTTCATCTAATTGGGGTCATTGAACGTGTGTACCTGTGCCTGTGCTAATATCTGCTGTTAAATACAATGCTGATTGCATGATAACTATCTCACTTATTGACAGTTATAACTCTTCCCATCTGATGTGCGCAGATCACAGAATATGCCTCAAAATATCAGAGTATCAGAATGGGATACACGGGTCTACAAGGATACATTCTAGCTAGGGTCAGAGATAGAGGCGGTAACAAAATTGGGTAAACGTGCATGGTTAAATCTAGGATGTACAGGCCTACATTGAGAGATACTTTCACGCTAGAATCAGAAATACAAGGGGTAACAAATTGGGTAATTGTACGTGGTTATACCCAGTAAAAACGAATCTGCAATGAGAGATACTTCGAAGCTAAAATCAAAGATACAACCCAAGGGGTAACGAAATTGGCTCAACGTACGTCGTTATATCCAGGGTACATGTGTCTACAATGAGAGATTTTCAAGAGAAGAGGGATATACATTTGTGTACAGATGAATCTTGGTAGGGATATATATTTTTTGTATCGATGAATCTTCGAAGGAGATATATTTTATTTTAGTGTAGATGGAACTTGGAAGGGGAATACATTTTGATACAGATGCATGTTGAAGAGGGTTATACATTTCAAAATAGGGTACATTTTTAGATAGCTGAATCTTGGAAGGGGAATGCATTTTTGTACAGATGCATCTTGGAGGGGGATATTACATTTTTATATTGATGAATCTTGGAAGGGGGATACCTTTGTTTACAGATGAATCTTTGAAGGGGCATACATTTCGGTACAGATGCATCTTGGAGAGGGGTATACATTTTATGTAGATGAATCTTGGAAGGGGCATACATTTCGGTACAGATGCATCTTGGAGAGGGATAAGCATTTTTATATAGATGAATCTCGGAAGGGAGATGTATTTTTTTAGTGTAGATGAAACTTGACAGAGGGTTCATAGACGATATCCCATTAATTTTGGGGGATTTTCTATGCGTGAATGAGTATCGACCATTTCAATGAGTAAGGCAGCAAAAGAATGGAGATTTCGACAAGATGGCAAATAATAGCTCGAGCATTCATCGGATATCATATTTGTTGAGTGTAAAGAAATGAAAGACATAGAATATCATATTACTTTCATATTTTGAGGAGTTAACAAAATAGTATCAATAGGATACGATTCGGATATCATGTCATAACATGCAAATACGAGTTTAGGAGCACAAATCAAATTATCGGGTGTTGTAATCCCCATATATCATATATATCCTCATGTATAAGTTTAGTATACATATGATAGATTTCGAAAGATAAATTGTGGAACTTGGGGAGCCGTTTCGGTATCTAGGGTATGAATGAATCTTGAATGAAATCTATCATATATACTTACACTCATTTGCCTCAGTTGTCTTTTCTCTAAAGTTTTGCCAGTTGACGTTGACAAAACTTTCCTGATCGGGTGTAGCGTAGCTGATGTTTCGCCATTCCCGAAATGCGTCGTCTAAACACTCAACATATCTGTAAATAGATTGTTAAAAATAGTATCAGTGATGGTATGTTAGTAAATAATCATTTGCTCTTCATCATATCTTTTTGTTTTCAAATCTAGAGAAGAATTAGTCTTTGTTTAAACTGCACATTCATTTAGATTAAATATTTTCCATCATGGATCTTTTTCTAAATGGATATTGGTATACTCTAGTCGCATCTAAAATGCTCGTAGAAATTAATATATTAATATATTATTGTATGTTGCACATTCTGTGAAAACCAGCTGAAGAGAATATATCAAAAAGTAAAATCTTAGAGAAATGTTATTAGAACTTTATAATCAACCCTCGTATAAAAGAAATTAATGAAAATGTAGAATGCAATCAGGCACAGCCCAACCGTGCAGTCGTAGTTTTCTACGGGATTATTTGTAACGGCGAAATAACTAAAGGAATGATCCTTGATAATCAATGAGACCCATTACGTCAAATAGCCCCACTTTGATGGTTTCAAACGTTACCTTCATAGTGACCTTGTTACACAACATAAATTCTATTTTATATAACCCTCTTCTCTTTAAGATTTCCCCCCATTTTTTCTTCAAAAATAGTAATTTCATATATTCTATTTTAATAGTTTTGGTGCTTTCTACATAAAATCTAAGTATTCAGTACTAAGAATTATTGTATTTATAATTCAAATGGATTCATATGAAAAGTAAAAAATTTGCGGTTCATCTTCCAACGAACAGATCATTATGATAAAGGAAACAATATATTTTTTATTGTAAAATTCAAATGCATTAATACATACAGTTAAAAGTTAGCGGGACATCTTCCCACGAACAAATCATTAATATAAAGGAAACAATATAATATATTTCTGTGTAATATATAAAATATGATTATTCAATACAACATATACGTAACGTTTACAGTATACGTAATGCTTTATCCTGTGAGACATATTTTTAAAATTAAAATTGTATATTTCTAGTACAATAATGGTGAGATTGCGAAATCCGCCCGTGTAAAAGCGAATCGTGAAAGTCGACCGAAATAGCTTGAAATTGCTGCTAAATACGTCCATTACAAGACCAGAATTATGGATTCGTCATTACCTTGAAATTATTCGTCTCTGTTCATCTCTCCGCATGAGAAGAAACGATCCGTTCGCTCGAAACATGATATTTTGTGAAAATCCAATCGTCTCGAGTAAAATTTTAGATAAATATTGCTAGGAACCAAACATAAACAAAGCCTGTATCTATGACGTAATCAGATGGAGAAGAGTGACAAAACAATGTAACTTCTGAAAACGGTGTGGTTGATAGGGTAATTGATATGACGTCATCAGATCAAGGAGGATTGGCTCCCAGAATGCAACACCGATATTCTGCAAAACAATCACCTAGCGATAGCTTTGTTGGAGAGTATCGGGTCATTCTCCATGCAGTCGTACAAATTACACAGACACGAATAGCAAATGACGCATGCGTGGAGATTAAAGAATATCGAGTTGGAACCCTGGCTTCCAATCCTCCTTGTCATCAGATTGAGAATATTGTTATTCAGACCCCTTATGAGCATACTAGATAAAGTATTTACAAGGCGACCGAATGTCAATATTTTATAAATTACATCATAAATTATAATTTGCTATTATACAGTGTAATACATTTTCGCTAGGCTAAAACATCATTTTCTATATTCTTCCTACCGTTGTGAAGCTAAGTTCACATCAACGGCGAATACCACGCTTTAAATCGGTGAGCAAAGTGCCGTCATTTTTGTTTACTTTTCCAAAAATATCACGATATCCTAAGTAATGTTACGCTCTGATAAGATCCTACGAATTAGTTGCCGCTTTGGGGGACGAATTGTTTCCCGACTTGTTACGGTTCCTCACGCTTTGACCAGGCTTTGTTACGCTTGAAAATAAAATCACGCTTTGATAAGCTTTATGTCGCTTTGATGCGATGATGACGCTTTAAATCAGGCTCTGATACGATTATCAAGCTCTGTCGTGCATTGTTACGCTCTGTGAAGATTTGTTACGCATTGGAAAATGCAGAGATCGCCGATTTCATGCCGCTTTTGATCAAGAGCCTATATAAAGATGCAGCAGATCCATAAAATCATTGCATCTTTGATTCCAGAACACGATGGCAGAACAACAAGATCTAGAAGTTCTAGATGTACCAGAGCATGATCTATCTGAAGAAGACATGATGTGGTACTCAAGTCTCAGCGCTATTTATAGGAATGGAGACAGAGCATGGGTATCGTAGGAGAGCATGAAAGAACGTGAGAGAGCGTGAGGAAGCTTGGCAACCGTAACAAAGCCTAACAAAGCGTGTTAATCCTTGATCAAAGCGTCTCAATTCGTGGGAAAGCGTGAGAGTCCTTCATGAAAGCGTAACAAAGCGTGTCAGATCTTGATTAAAGCGTTTGACCTCGTGTCAGATCTTCATGCCAGATCGTAGCAAATATTGAGATATCTTAACGAAGCGTGTCAAGTGGTGACAGATCGTGAAGATTGGGGTCTCCCGCTTTGAACCAAGCTCTGTTAAGCTTTTCTACGCTTTGGGTCAAGCTTTCCTGAGCTTTTTACGCTTTGTTAAGCTGTGATACGCTCTCGGCGCTTTAATCAATTCGTGACAGAACGCCCAAAATTTTTAAACAGTTTGAAATTTCTGGTGTTGCTCACCGTTTAGTATAAAAGGCCCGATCCCGGAATAATACTCAAGGATTCACAGGCTCGAGGTCGTTGTGTCAACACCTCTAACTGTTATATAGCATAAGTATATTATAGATCGTCACATATTTATATAAAACGGTGATCTTTATTTCGACAAATCAATTCCACATTTATGGGTGAAGTTTCAGGATCTTCTATTTGTGTATAATAAGGAAAAATTGACATCTAAATAGCACACAGCTTGGTATATGAAATATCCTACAAATGAAACAAAGCAGTTCTAATACAAGGATTTATATTGGCTGTTGTACATATTCTTTGAACGCAATCACTCTATGGATAATGTTTTCAAAATCATTATAAACGGATTACTTTATCTCAAAGACAATTTCAATAAACTGGATTTTACAGAACTCCCCTTATTTCTTAAAAATGGACTGATCCAGTCGATTCGCCTGGAGCCGCCATATTGTTTTTATACGGGATGCTTATCGGAACCCTTTAAAGCCTGTTCCAAATTTGTCCTAACTGACAGGTTTGAAATAAACATTATTACCACCTTGCCGGGCCTGTTCTAGGGGTATTAGTACTAATTTAGAATGCATTTATTTTACTATATTGCCCTATGATGGTACTTTTTACACACTGAAAAAAATTATGGTAGTGCCAAAACCGGTCTAAAACATCAATTTTAAACGATTTTACGCCTTAAAGGGTTCCGATTAGCATCCCGTATAAAAACAATATGGCGGCTCCAGGCGAATCAACTGGATCAGTCCATTTTTAAGAAATAAGGGGAGTTCTGTAAAATTCAGTTTATTGAAATTGTCTTTGAGATAAAGCAATCCGTTTATAATGATTTTGAAAACGTTATCCAAAGAGTGATTGCGTTCAAAGAATACATGTACAACAGCCACTATGAATTCTTGTATTAGAAACCGGTTTGTCTTGCTTTGTTTCATTTGTAGGATATTCCATATGCCAAGCTGTGTGCTATTATATTACGTTATGGGGAAACTTAGATGCCAATTTTTCCTTATTATACACAAATAGAAGATCCTGAAACTTCACCCATAAATGTGGAATTGATTGTCAAAATAAAAATCACCCTTTTATAAATGTGTGACGATCTATAATATACTTATGCTATATAACAGTTAGAGGTGTTGACACAACGACCTCGAACCTGTGAACCCTTGAGTATTATTCCGGGATCGGGCCTTTTATACTAAACGGTGAGCAACACCAGAAACGAGCGTTCGATTTGCTAAACGATATGCGTCACCCTTTAAATAGCAGTGAAATTAGGGAGAGGATTTAACCATTTTGCTCAATAAACACATTTATATATCATATCCGACAAAACCTTTGGTATGCATAAGTTAAGTATGGAATATATAACATATTTATGGGTCATTTGCTGGAATTACACCACAAAATCCGCTAAAACGTTTTAGTGGAAGGCGCTTTATAAAATCGCCATTCTGATTACACCAACATTTCTAAAGCGTCTTAGGGATTATATTTTGGAATTACACCTGTTTTTTCTAAAACGCCTTTCGTGCACTTTTAACGATGTAGTTATGGATACTATTCAGCATACATGTATGTGTACATCTCCTGTAAATGTATTCTTTTTGCATCTGAGACAAAACTGATCTTCCATAATTTGATTAAAAATGCATGACATTGCATAATTTTTATTTATCTTTTATTAATTATGAGAAAACATATAATAAAAAGGTAAAAGAAAAATATGTACATATTCTCTGAAGATAACACTTGATTTCGATGTGACCTGGCTACCATCATCCATTTTACAATTTAGATAAAGCCAGATAGCAGCGTGACCGGATGTCTCATCATGTATCAAATGTCTTTATTATTTTTGAAAATCAACTCATCCTTTGGCCGGCATAAGCACATCTTGAAAAGATCTTGGCAAAACTCCATAGACGAGCGGCCAGACAGGCTTACTTCATGAGAGAAGTGCAGGAACGCACAAGCAGAATAAAAAATGGTTTGGTTGCTGGGGCTCTTTGGCTTGCTTGGAACGACCGGAAAAGAACGTTCGATATGGGAACGTGAAAGATCGAGGCACTTTTTTGATTTCATTGTAGAAAGGTAATCACAGACCTACACTTGATGAGGAAATTGAACTTTAATTCGAAATATTGAACAAATGAGTTAAGTGTAAGCCTACAATGAACGTGCACGAACTGAATACATACTAAAGAACGTACTCATCATTATGCATACGAATGGACGTAAACGTACCAATGTCCTCATAAATGACCTATCAAATAAACTTTTGGACGTAAATCTAACTTCGAAATAATGAACGGACGGATGAATGACCAAATAATTACAATTTTACGAACAAACGAACGTATTAGAACAAACGTATAAGAAACCAAGGACGTCAATCTCGAGATTGACGTCCTTGAAGAAACCAAGTCAAGAAGGAACGTGTAAATGAAACAAATGCATCTTAATCATCGTTTAGATACCTCTTTAACGAAATAAATATACCACGTATACAGTGTACTATATCTTACGTTATTTAGCTTGCTATGTGACTTTTCAGGACCTGGGATAATGATGATTTCAGAAGAAATTTCGGAAATGAGGTCTTATTTCGTTTAGGGCAAATGTTAAAAACTAGTAAAAACCCGGGTAAGGCGTCTTACAAAAACCGATCGGTATTACACTACACACTTAAAACGCCTAACGACTTAAGCCGTTTACTAGTGGCAAGGGTTCTTAGAGTTTTAGAAAAGCGCTTTTGTAAAACCGCAATCGTGATTACACCTAATTCTTAAACCTGGTTAAAACCGAAGAAGCTTTTGTAAAACGCCAGGTGTAATAAGAAGCATCAACAGGCAAAAGCGTTCAGATATCAAAAGCATGATGATGGCGAGGAGACAACGCTGAAAGGGTCTCAAAATGATATTCAATATAAAATTGGGTATGAATCAAAGTCATACAGAAGTAGGCATGTTGCTAGTGGAAATAGTAACAGATTTGCAAATAGAGACTATAGGTATTATAATGATGAGGAAAGTGAGAGGTGTTATGACAATCATGATGACTATGATGAAGATTATTGGTACAAAGATGAAAGGCATGATGATCAATATTATTCAAACACCAATGATCAGAGAGATTGGTGGTCTGATAAAGGCTATTAAGCTTGTATGTAGATGTGTATATCCAGTAACTCATTTTAATGTTAAGCACAGTTACAATAGTAATTTCTTTATTGTTATTTTTATGTTATAATAGTATACAAGAATCTAACAGAACTATGGAGAATGTAAATGGAATAAGGATTTCAACATTCAATGTACATGGATTTTCAACATGTAAACCATTCCTGTACAATTTATTATCAACTGTAGATATTCTAGGAATTTCAGAGCACTGGGTATACAATGCTGGTTTATGTAATGAAATGAGTACATTTCACCCGGATTTTGAATGTT